GTTAAGGCCTTTACCAGTCAGTACAGTCTAGTCCATGTTTTGTGGTAAGCTTTTTTAGCTATTTCGGAGGACAGGTGTTGAGCATTTCAGTTTTTCTTGTTAGTATTTACTTAGTGAATTATGGCCTTGTGTTTGCTTTTTAGGCTCTGGCCAAGACACACATCGCCTCTGTGGACTTTAGAAGTCAATATCCAGTACTTGATAGCTTTCGACTCCCTTTCTTGCAGTAGCACATCAGAAACACAGCTTTGAACACTGTTGCAGCCAATTCAATATTGCAATATCATTGTAGGGATTGGCTACCTCTCTACTGTGTACTCTTCTGATTTTATGTGAACCAGCTGTGCCTGGAATTTCTGGCTCAGATAACTACCAACTGTAAAATAACCCTCAACAGGTAATAAATGTATGTTACTGTGTAAATGAAATGGATCAGTTCTAGTCCAGGGAATAGGCTGCCTTGACAGATGGAGAGGAATAAAAGAGGGGAAAGAAAGACGTAAAGCGTCTCTGGAGTTGAGGCCAATAGAGACTCGTACTCATAGAGTAAGAATGTGTGGTTAGGTAAACCTCTTCTGTGGTTACCCCCACTGTGATTTGGTTTGGGTCTCATTTATCTCCCTCTGGGGCTGCTGTGTCGTCAGTGGGTTCTGTGCTCTCCCTTTAGGATTTGAACAGCAGTGTTGTCCGTAAGACATATTCCCCAGATGACAATCTAAATATATAACTTCTGTGCTCCTATACCCTCATCCTAGGGCTGGGCGATATGACGATATTAGATCGTGAAGGATTACAACGTGAAGACGATCTGTCAAACTGCAGAGATCGTGGGATCGTCTAGGGCACATTCTATAAATTGCAGTTCTATGCTGATGCACCGACGCACCAGATGTATTGATGTCGTCAACCTGACCGACCAATCATAGCAAATTACGGGCAGTGACGCACTTTCCTACCCGCCTCCTTGTTTGTATGTGTAGCGGTAGCACATGGAGAGCGATGGCTGAAAGCCAAACGGAGTCGGTCGCTAAAGAAAATTTCACCTCCATTATATGGAATTGGTTTGGATTTTCCGCAACTGATCAAGCGCAAGCAAATGTAATTTGCAAAGTTTGCACAGAAACCGTTCGCATGTCGGGTGGTAACACGACGAACCAGAATGATGTTGTTGTTTACCTTAAACTTACGTTGTTTGCACATGCAGGCAAAACTGCGACTATTTGAAATGAAATCTGTTAAGAAAGGTTCTTTGGTCTAAATTGTCTGTTTTCCTTTTTCCAATTTAAGATCATGATAAAATCGAAATCGTGATTTTATTTTTAAAAAATCGTGATATGATATTTTTGCCATATCGCCCACCCCTACCTCATCCCCTTTTATTTCCTCGTCTGCTCTTCATTCTGTCCCCATGCTAGCCCTCTTGGCTCCTCCTTCGTCCATTCATGTGTGAGCAAGCATGCATGTGGACATACCATATATATGTAATATTAATGCCCCATGGGCAGAAAAGGAAAAGTCCCATTTGTCGACTGTTATGTGCCATCACCATTTAAAGCACACGTTGCACAGTGAAGTGAAAAATAAGAGAAGAGCGGGGTGCGTGGAACAAGAATCAGAAATGGCTCACTTTGGTGTGCTGGAGTATGTTATATCATGCCAAACCTGCCTTTTTAAATTCTAAATGTAGAGAGGAAGGATATCCGCGCAGGAGAGACAATGAAGTCAAAAGCACATAGTGTAACCAGACTGTTGGCTGCTCTCCCGCTCCCACTCCAGCTCCCCTTAGTTCTCTTTGTCCTTCTCTCTCTTTGGTTCACTCCTCATCCTCAGCCTTTTAGCTAACACAGAAAGATTCCTCTAAATCTAGTCATTGGGTCTCTTTTATATGCATATTAAGTCAGTGCCTGCGTCTTTGTTACAGGAGGTTCCTGTTGCCAAGTTCTCTCACTGTAGAAGTTAGCTTAAGCACAAAGTGAACCAGAGTCATCATTTCTTCCCTTTGTGAAGACGCATATCTCATTACAGATGAATGTGATACTGGAATATGAGAGACTAAGAAGGGGTTGTCATAGAAGTTTTAATTCAGTCCCTGGGGGTTTTCCTTTATGCATGATGCTTAGTCAAAGAGTGGCTCAAATTTACACACCTCACCGATCTTATCAGCCATGTTTTGTCGACAAAAACCTGGGAAGTTTAATCATTTATATTAACCCAGTGCAGAGGCTGCTTAAACCAAATATTTTCTGTCATTAACTGAATTTTTTAAAACAACGATAGAAAACTATGAAGGCCGTCTGTCATTTTGACAGATTAGAACAATGAGGGTGACCTGATCTGTAACTTCGTTCTGTTCATTAAATGTTATGATTTTGATAAAATTTGAATTTATTAATTGCTATTAAATAGACTATGTCTCATTATCGTAAAAAATAATAAATGATGGGTAACAATAGATTATGGCGCAATTTTTACGATTCTGTCAAGAAAGTCAAATGCAACCACTGATCTAGTGAGCCTGGAAGGGCATGAACCAGTTAGTAGGTCTTAGACATTACTTAAAAAAAGATTACTGACTCCCCGCTTGCTTGTTTTTGCACTATGGATCACATCTCTGGTTAATCGCACAGGAGGGGAAATCGGCTCCACCACTCCGTCATTATGGCATGATCTCTATAAACCATATCCATAATCTATGGGGTTATTATAGGGGCCGGGCAAAGTGAGAGGGCTCAATCCCCCATCTGCTCACAGTTCTACATGCAGATGAAAATCATCTGCAGCAGCAAGCAGAGGCTTTCCTCTTCTTTTTGATCCACATATCCCCTTAGAGAAAAACCTTTTATTATCCTCGAATTGAAAATCCTTGCAGTCGGCTGTTTTCAGATACATAAGAACATAAGAAATGCATAAATACTGAAGTTCAGCAAGCATGGGTTTTTCAAATGTCATCAATATGTCTGGGTAGTTTATCAAGAAGGTTGTATGTTTCAGTGAAATTTAATGCAACATAGAGAGTAGGCAGCCATTCTTCTCTTGCCATATCTTGTCAGAGCATTTTGTTAGAGTCCGTCTGTTTTTCTCCTTTGCTGTCTTTTTTTTCTTTTTCCCTTAGTTCCCTCTGCCTTAACAAGCTCCATGTAATGTACCTGTTTTTGTGGATTGTAATATGGTTTGACTGACGGATTGAACACAAGAAAAGGGTAAGCACGAGAACAGTGCTTTTGAAAACCAATGCGCCCTGTACTCAAGAGAGAGCTCACTATGCATCGTTCTCACCTGTGTCATAGCGTGGCATGCTCTAAGGGCTGAAGGTGTCAACACCATATTGATGATTCAACAGGAATGAGCTAAACAGGCATTAAAACAGCTGTACAATGGACATTTGGCAATCACTGATGTTTCTTGAAATAGTTTTTATAAAACATGCATTAGCCAAGGAAAAAAAAGCCTGCTCTCACCCCAGAGTAATATAGTCACTTATGAATTGAAACATTAGTTGTTGAGTCCAGGAGGACATCACAGTTCTATGCAATTAAAGTCTGATGGGTTGATTGTTTGATTGATAAACAAATCTTGACTTTTGGGAATTAAATCTAAGCTTTAAAATCAAAAAGGGTTTTATGTGTAGGTGAGCTGTCAGTAGCTGCTGTAGTTGTTTTAAACAGTTTTTTTCCTATCTGTCTCTTGCAGTCTCTCCACCAGTCTTGTAGCATTCAGTGGGATTAGGATTAGTGGTCTGAGGCAGCCTACTTTAACGAGCACTAATTGATTTGCAACTAAGAATGTGTTGGAGACTGCAGCAGACAGCACCAGAGCAGGGGTAGGGGTTATGCGAGGTCGGCAAACACAATATTGCATCAACCTACAAGAACAGAGCCACTGAGTTTGTTGGCTGTAGTATTAGAAAGTTTCATCCACGTGATGGTGCATGACTTCCCGTCTGCCATCCACTGTGGGCAGCAGGCCTCTCTTTGGGGGAGGCATCTGTACTGGAGCCCACGCTGGGCCTGATTAGTCAAGGCTATCCAACTGTGCTGTTGAGTCTCCATGTAAACAAACACAATCCATTCGTTAGGCCTGTATAGCACACAATTAGTCATTGTTTGCATGGGAAAAACATTCTGCTGTAAGTACAAAATCGCTGATGTCAACAGTTTGAACCAAAGGGTGTCAGTCAATGTAACTGTCCCTCCTCCTCTTCTGTGTTTTTCCTTTCAGAGCCGTGCGGGACTGATTGGTCCAGGTCCTGTCCATCCAGTGAATCTAGTGGCTGTTGGGCCTGTGAGCTGATTGAGGGGTCTCTGAGCTGTGGATTGCATCATTATGGAACAATAGCAGTGGGAATCAAAGCTCTCCCTCCTCTTCCTCCACCTCCTCCCCCATTTATTTTTCTCTCAGCCTGACTCTCCAGTGAAATCCTCCCCCTAACAAAACACAGTCACCCACACACATGCAAATGTCTGACCACTCCTCCCACGCTGGTCATGGTCCACTCCCCCGTCTCTCCAGTCAGTCAGGCAGTGAGTCCATGGATGCAGAGTAATCCTCTGTAAAGTATAGGACCTATACGTTTGCATATGTTCCCTTTTGTCATGGCGGTTGTTGTTGTTGCAGAGGCCTCCCTCAGGAGGGAACATGAGGGAGAACAGAAGGCAGCATAAAGCTCACAAAGGGAGGAAGAGAAAAAGCGAGAGAGTGAGTGAGAGACACTGACTCTGCCATCTATTTGACCGGAGGAGAATGAGCTTCACAGAGCAATGGATGGAATTCAGTGGTGGTGAAACTACATGATGTGGGACTGGCATTACTATCCCACGCCAATCAGGAATTGGACCAACAGTCAATTTTGGAGATATCTGCCACATAGAGTTTTGGAATTTTAATATTTTGGAATATTTTTCTGCTTTGCCTCTCCTTGGTGGTCTCTTTACATTACAGCCTACCAAAAGTGCCTTTTTTGTGTTACTGTTTTTTTTTTTTTTTTTTTTTTTTTTTTTTTTTACTCATCTTTCTTCATATTCCAATTCCATATTTCCACAAACTATTGCTAGTAACTTTACATACAGTAACCATCACATTAAATGTGCGTTGCAATATTTCAACACTAGCCTCCATCAATACACACTTGACAATCATCACCTTACTGAATTTAATTTCTGCTCGGGGTGAACGTATTTAACCTCGGTGTCAAAGTACTGAGAGTCAGGTTACTCAAGACTAGTGTGACTTTCTTCACTGCCTCCTGTGGATCTCTGTTTTTTGACGACATAGAGCTGTCGCCATGGTCGCTTTCCAATCCAAATGGCGCTACCTTTTCATGTTTCTGGGTATCCAGCTGGTGGTCATGGCGCTGCTCTCCCGAGAGGGATATCAGAAGAGGGTCACCTACTTCATCCGCATCTTCCGCAAGCCTGACGGCACTGGTTTTTCAGGCCGCAATCACACAGCAACCGGCATCACTGGAGGGGACGTATATGCCAACCTCTCCCACCTATCCAAAGCTCATAGCCATGGAGACGACATGCCCTACTGCCCTAAGACGTCCCCTTTTGTAGGTGAGTGGTCTTGCTTGCTTCTGTGTTGTTAGGTAGCACACCTACATGTGTCTACATCTGTAAATACAGCATTGATCTATGAACAGGGTTAGTTAACAGTTGTTGTGGGCCACTTGTTTGTGCTTCAGGCATTTTTATGGGCTTAAAATTTTTTTCTGTCTCCATAATACTGTGCTATTGAAAGTCGAGAATTATATTTTCACATTGGTTTGAGTCAGGATGGTACGGTGTTGACTCTTGCTCTTGCTCAGCAGAATCACAGGGAACTTAAATGCACCACAATGATGAGGCTTTGAAACATTTCCATTTAGCACTTAGAGTTTGAGCCATTACTTGCTTCATAACAGTCAGTGCGGCATCATACTATGCTATAGAGTCAAACAAAATCAGCTGCTGCCTGGTGGTGATGTTTTGTTGTAGTTGTCTTCATTTGCACTCTGAAATATGCTCAGGTGCAGGTATTGGAGGTTGGGCAACTTGAACAAAGTACAAAATCCCCCTTAATGTGTGTTTTAACAGTGTTTGGTTACAGTTGGATATACAGTGAATATGCTTTCTTGCCACCGGTCCCCCTCTGGAGTTTCACTGAAACTGGTTTAACAAAGGGAAATTGACCTATGCTGTTGTACTGACACAGACCTTCTGTATGAGCTGAACAGGACTTGGTGGGATGCATTAATCACACCAGCTTTAAAAATAAGTGCTAATGCTATCCACACATTTGCAATAAAACAGTGATGCAAATGGGTCAAGTGCAGGCTTTTTGTTAGCAGCAAACATATTAAAATAAAATTTGCTAAACATCTGTCCTAATTTCCTAATAGTTCCGCTGAGCAAATAGTGCCTGTTGTGATATTGCATCATCTCCATTCCTGATGCAGAAAACCTGATTTAATTGTAATTTTCATATATGTTGATAATAGCAAAACATGAAATGGGTTTTTAAAGTATTGTTTTTCTGTCACACATAATACTCTCTTCAACCTAGCTTACAGTCGTAGGTGTCTCATTAGTTTTAGTTTTTCTTGTCAGTCAGTCTGTCAGCATTGCTCTCATGATAATATATGACATAAAGAAACAAGGTAAATATGAATTCTGGCAAATAGAGAAGAGCAAACATATCGGGGACCCATGCATGATATAAGAGACACTGACATAGAGCAGTGTGCTAACAATTAAACATCAATGTAGACGATGATGCAGGGGCAAATTAGTGATCATATAGGGTAATTACAACCAAGCTAATCAAATCAGTCAGATCAGTCAAGAATAAGATTATTAGTTGTGGTTTCCCCCTTAAATTAGGTGATCGGAATCATCAGATAACTCTTGTGCACTGTAGATCTATCAGTCCAAACAGTAAATGGCTTCTTTTGTTGTTTTTTAAAATAATTTTTCATGCGTCATTTCCACAGAACAATGCAGAATCATGATTAAAGCTGACAACACATAATCAGTGTTATGACCCGTTCTTTGATGCTTGAGCCATTGTTTCCATATGGATCAGAGCTTGAATGCTTTATTTGATTATCACATTTCCCACGGAGACATTTGTTTTTGTTCATCATAGAGAGAGAGAGAGAGAGAGAGAGAGAGAGAGAGAGAGAGAGAGAGAGAGAGAGAGAGAGAGAGAGAGAGAGAGAGAGAGAGAGAGAGAGAGAGAGAGAGAGAGAGAGAGAGAATGCGTGTTATCTTGCGGAATACTGCACCGACTATAGTGTGTTTTTGAGCATAGAAAATTTGTCCTTGAAAATAGCTGTTTGGAAAAAAAAAAAAATTACTCAATGTGTACTTACTAGCTTTTTTCCTCCTAGAGCTTTAACCCAGCTTCTTTCAACAACATTTCATCTCCGTTTGCTCAATTGTCAACTGAGCAAATGTGATGATAACTCAGAAAACTTCATCCACTGATGAAGACGGTGAGATACAGTTGAAAGCTTGGGATTATAAAAGTAGTAATTGGACAATGATACAGGTCCTTTGTTCATCTATTCCCTGTTGCACACGTGTTGTACATTACTCAGACAATTTACCTGCTCAGTGTTTTTTCAGTACAACTAGAAGGCACAGTCAAAGCAGGTGTAGTTTTCTGCTTTCCAGGTTCTGCCCTCTGCCCCTTTTTTCCCCACTTTACTGCCAGTAATTTTAAACTAAATGCTGATACCTGAGCCAGAAGGCATTGGTGACTTTCCTTGGAGAAAATAATAGAAAAGGGTCACTGATGTATTACTGAACATTCTGTTAGGAAGTGAACAGAAACCACCTTGAGTTTCACTGGAACAGGTTTGACATGAGGAGAACAATTAGATATGTTCTTGTTTTAAGGAAACAGTCCAAACAGATCAGTTTGCGATGTCAGTCAAACTTCTTAGGGATTGTATGTTGGAATCTTTTCATCATGACAAAGTCCTGTGACATGTTTATGTATTTTTCCTGATTAGTAAGTGAGGTTACAAAATGTCACAATGTAAAGATTGCTTATCAGTCTGACTGAACCCGAGTCCAAACTCCAGTTATTCATTTTCCAACAGACAGTTTGTGCCATTCTTGAAAGGCTTAAAACACATTGAATTTAGTTTCTTCAAAACAAAAAAACTCTGTAGAAGCTATTATGAGAGAGGAGGCAGTAATGTTATAAAATTATTATGTACCTGACTGCAGGAGACATTATACACCTATAAACTAAAAGTGGGACTGTAGATGGTGCTGCAGGAGGCTGTTAAATTAATTTCTCCTGCTTTGTCCAGGTCTTCTTAATTTGATTAATTAAGTCATTAATTATTGTTGACTGCCGTCACATTCAAATAACAGGCTCTCATACTCTAATCACATTATTTGCCTTCACTCCATTAAACATATCCTATTTCTGCTCATAGGTGGGCCAATCCATGTCAGCTTTCCATCAGGGCTCACCCTAGCAGAGGTTCAAAGGAAAAATCCACTTGTGGTACGTGGAGGACGCTACAGGCCACCTGACTGTGAGGCCAGGCACCGAACAGCCATCGTCATCCCCCACAGACACAGAGAACACCACTTAAAGTTCCTGCTCTACTACCTACATCCGTTTCTGCAGCGCCAGCAGCTCAACTATGGAATTTATGTGATTCATCAGGTAAAACTCGCTCAGCCAAGTAATATAGAACATTTGTAGACTAAAGGAAGATTCAAAGAGTGAATAAAATAATAAAGGTTTTACATTTGGGAGAAACATAAGGTAGATCTTGTTGGATATTCACATCCGCCAACTGGTTAATTTGTTCTGTATTCATCCATAAGGCTGAATCTGCTACAGTTGAGGCTAGATGAAGAGTGCCCTCTAGTGTGCTGTCACTGAATGTGTATGTTGAACTATGACAAAGCTAATTAGCTTAGAGGGTTTAGTCTCCTTAGCTGCTTTAACAATTGATTCATATTTACTCTGCAGCACTGTGTGTCTTACACCTCTAGAGCTGGATTTGTCATTGCACTGTCATTGTCAAATTGATGGAACTTGCTTCTGAGGCTTTGTCTTGTCTCTGCTTAGCTGATACCTTAAAATGATAGATAAACAATGCATCAATTGCAGTGTTGCATTTATTTTAGGATTAATCAGGGAATTAACATCTAAATAAGGCCTGAAAATAAGATGCATGACACTGTGCAAGGGATGATCTTTTTTTTATATTGTGAAACATTACATAATTTTGTTGACTAATTTAAGACCATATAGCAAAGCATTTGTGAATGACTTAAAAAAGGTTTGATAGAATTTAATGTTTTGTTTTTGTTGTGGTATTGGAAAGTCTGCTGGTTATTGGATGTTAGTGAATATTTCAGTAACACTTTATTTTAAAGGGTTCCGAATGATTAACTAACAAATTTCCTTCAAAAAAGTCAATGTTAAGCTGGTGTAAGTTGTGCAGTCTAGAGTCTTTTAAGTCACCATGTCAGCTTAACATGCAGCAACATATATGAAGGATTAAGTTCCTGATAATAAAAATATAATTTAACTATTAACTGATTACATTTTACCAATATTTACCTTTGTTGTATTTGTTTTTTGTGTTTCAAGCAACTTTTGTTCCTCATAACTGACTCTTGGCATAATTATATGCAGTTTAACCACTTTTAGACTGGTGTCTAAGATTACTAGATCTTGAAGTTTTCAGATTTGGTCAGGTCCATTGTAACACACACTCACACTGCTATTTTGACAATAAGTGTCTGTGTTTGCTCTGCAGGCTGGAAACTACACTTTTAACAGAGCCAAGCTGATGAATGCGGGTTTCCGGGAGGCCATGAGGGAGGAAGACTGGGACTGTCTCTTCTTCCATGATGTGGACCTCATTCCAGAGGACGATCGCAACACATACGTCTGTGACTCCAACCCTAAGCACGCAGCCATTGCCATGGACAAGTTTGGCTACAAGTACGTTGTTTCTTGGCTGCGTATGTCCACTGAAGGGGTCGCTCTTCACAGATAGACCCATTCTGTGTCCCACTTTTTTAAAAAAAACAAAAACTTTTTTAATTACTGTGATCTCTTATTGTCTCCAGGCTTCCGTACAAGATGTACTTTGGAGGAGTGTCAGCTCTGACACCACTGCACTACCTCAAAATGAATGGCTTTCCCAACAACTACTGGGGCTGGGGAGGAGAGGACGATGATATTGGAGTCAGGTGGGAATAGTTTAGGCCAGATGCTCTTAAGGATGAGAGGTTTAGATACTAAACCTAATCAATCTGTGTTCTGTTGCTACAAAAATGAAAAAATGAAGAAATGAAGAGAAGAAAAATGGCCCAATTCCAACTCATAAAGAGCTGTGTGTGTCCCAGTTAGACCGAGTGAAAGACATTTGTTTCTCATGTTCTCAGGGTGTCTCTGGCAGGGATGTATATCACTCGGCCATCACTGAAGGTTGGCCGTTACAAGATGATTAAACACAAGCTGGACAAAGGAAATGATGTGAACCCAAAGAGGTAAAAAAAAAAAAGAAATGTGTTTAGGTTAAGAGGTCAAACTCGGCCCTCCTTGGTCTTATGTGGAAATAGCAGAAATGGCTGTATTTGCTGTTTGTTTTTACTCTACAGATAAAAAGGAACACATGCTTCAATATTCACTCTTCTGTCTTTGTTCTTGGTTTAAAGGTTCAACATGCTGGCCAAGACACGTCAAACCTGGAAGATGGATGGGATGAACACGGCTGAATACGAGATAATCTCAAGGCAATATCTGCCCCTCTACACCAACATCACTGTCAACATCGGCACTGAGGCCGGTCTACATCCCCCGACACCACCTCCTCCTCATGCCAAAGCTGCAGGCAAACCTGCTGCCGAAGCGCCAGCCGAAGTCCCGATAAAGGGCCCAGCCAACCCCCCTGCCAAAATGAAAAAGGGCCTCTCAGAGAAACAGTCTGCCCTGAACAACCACTAATCATGTCTCTCTTTGCCATTACTTCAATAGGATAATAGGATGCTGTAGGATGGTGTGTTTTCCTCTCACTGGCCTGGAGTTTTTCGCTAATTTTCGCTCAGATTTTTCGTCTGTTTGTGGAGGACTTAGTTTGTGGAGAAACAACATCAAGTTGCCCACAGACAGTCAGGCAGCCATTTCTGTGATAAACACACCTGGTTTATTAAAACAATAGACATGACTTTATCAACCCTTAGGTGGCGTTCCACCTTGGTTCCTACGATCCTGTGATATCACTGATTATTCTTCCAAGGGAGCCACAGCAAAGAGAGAAGGCTAAAAGTTGGACTCTATGAGTTTATATATCTACAGCACTGTGGTCGCTGGTTAAACCTTGTGATGCCTTAGAATCTTGTTTTCTTTTTTGTCTTTTCATTTGTAATTTACATGATTTAGAATACTGGGCCTAATGGAGCAGTACCTGCAATTTCCAGCAGTCACACTGTGCCACGAAAGAGTTGGACAAATTTTTTTTTTTTTTTTGTCTCAAAACCAATGAATACATGAATGAAAGTGTGTTTCCAAGTGCGTAAAGCTGCTACAGTGAGTACTAAATGAAAGAACTTGTATTACTGGTATCCCTATTACCGCTTTTGACACAACAGTGCACATATCCATGTATCTGTCTGCAAATGTCTGGGCCCTAGTTTAGAAAGGGTTCCTAAACAGAGACGCTGCTCTACTTCAGTATGGCTTGTACATGAAAATATAGGCTAAAGATCTCATGTTTTTAAAGCTATGGATGCTGCACACATAATTTTGCCTTTTGTCATATTCAGTAGGATTGAACGAAGTGGAAAACATTTTGGTTCTGTACACCAAGGCCAAGGTACAGTTCTGTGTAGTTTTTATCTTGGCAGTAGTCGGTGCATTCATTTCAGCCTTTCAGATCATTTACTTATATTTCAGCATATCATTTTTTGTGTGTTTTTGTGTATTTGCCTTCTTAAATTTTTTTTTAGAACCGTCTTGGTGACGGTGATCAGTCCTCTGCCTTCAGATGAGCTTGTGATTCACATCCTAATGGAGTCTATTATTTTTATATATATATATATATATATATATATATATATGTTGATTATGTCCTGTGTACTCTAGAGCTTCTTATGTAAATGTGTCCCTCAAAAGTGCTGGCTTTCTCCCTCAACACTTCATATGCCGTGAATCTTGATAATGTGCCACCCTCCTTTACATTTAACTACACAAATCTCTGAAAAATGAAATGACCCCCCCCCCAAAAAAAACATTTGCTCAGCACATAAAAAAGTAACTTCTACAGTGTCTTCAGATCAGGACCGGTTCAGGAGTGGAGATTGGTAAATTTCAAGTTCCAGTAGTCAAATTTATTAATCCAGACCAATAAGTTAGTTCAGTAATTTGAGCCCAAAGCACAACAGGACAAATCTGTGATCACTGTTGATGTGGGAAGGAAAGTCACAAGAGCATTTTGAATTTTCATGTTTCAACTTTAGTTCAGTAGAATGATTGTGGTTTGAGAAAATACTGAGACATCTGGAACTGATTTGAGTTGTTGAAAAGTTGAAAAGCCATAGAATAATGTCTAAATACATTGTTGACATATTGACCACGTGACAGTGAAATTTAAATGAAAATTGGAGTGTGAATTATATCACAGGTATCTTTAGCATTATTTAAAAGTTACAGTTTGGCTTGCTAATACATGGAAGCAAACTGTGTTTCTTTACTCTTTTCATTCTTTCCATCTTTCTATTTCAGACACATGCAAACAGTTGGTAGCTTGGTGTAACTGCAGTCTGTGACGTCAATATTGACCCAGCGCCCCACAATGAGACTCCAGTCGTCAAACCAGTTGTTCTCTAACAAGTTATTAAATGGAGACATCTGCTGTGTCCTTTCCCCTTGTGCCCTTGTACTGCATGTGGACTCTCCACGCTCCTTGTCTCTTCTCTCCACACTGAGAGATTCGATTGTTTACAACAAAAAATCAGTCCCTTTATCCAGTGACCGCGGCTACACTGACAGGTGAACAGGCTGAAACCAAAGATGACCGAAATGGAAAGCTGTGATGATGGGAAGAAAAAAAAATGTGTGTATACAGTACACTCCATATATTTTTCTTCAAACACTATAAAGAAAACTTACTTTTATCTTCATGTTATTGTGGTATCAGGCTGCAGAAGTGAATGGACGAGGTCTGAGAGTGGTTGCCTGTGAGTTTTTATCATTTTCATGTGAATTCGTATTCAGCTCATATGGCCTCAGCAACACATGCAATACTAGTATTTCAACACTTGGGCACCAATACAATAGTATCTTTATCTCAAGACTTAATATGCATGGCAAACAACCTATATGTAAGGAAATGGGAATATACTGAGCACATTCATATGATTCATATCAGTGCTCACCTAGACAATTTGAAGCATGCTGAAGTGTCTATTTGTGAACCAGAAACTCTTGTTGACTTTTTATGTTAATTTCCATTTGCTGTGTGGAGTTCCCCTGCTGTTGTGAGAAATTAGAGGATAAGAAAAGGGCATTTGTGTACACAGGAAGCTTTTTGTTTCCACAGTCACAATGTCGAGTTTCCATCATTTACTGTGTAACACTTGACCTAATGGGTTTTTTTTTTGTTTTAAAGGTTTGTTATGTTTAATTTGATTTGACTCCATTTTGATGTGGCTAAGCTCAGCAACAATAGAAAGCAGTTATCACAGGGTAGTACTGAAGCAACCAAGGGCAAAGTGACTTTGTGAGTCATTTCTGCGCTCTTTATGAATTCTGCACAGTCCAGAGTGGCCTTAAATTCATTAATAAACTGATTATTCAAAAGAAATGCTGTCACCTTTTTGGATTTTGGTTAGATCTTTTCTAATTTTTTTGTATCTTATGGTGAACATGGGTCAGTAGCATATTTCTTGATACATCCTCCATTATACACAAAGATCTTTTAACGTCCCCCTCCACTCTAAATGTGTTTTGCTTATTTTTACTTCCCTTTGCTGTTTTACCTTCACTGTGGCTTCAGGAAGTGCACTCTCTGTGTTGTAGACTTCATTTTAAATGGATTAAATGCCATTTTCTTCAGCCAAGACAACACTGGAGCGGCTGCACGATCAGACAAAAAATTATGTTTTCACTTTGTCATTATGAGTTGTTGAGTGTAGATTTATGGGCAAAAATTGACATTTAATCCATTTATAATTGAATCTACAACACAAAGTGTGTGTGACGCTACTGCATGTGCAAAGTATGGCTATTTTCACGTTCATTTTCTAAAGGGGGAAGGTTTTTTGAGCACAAAAAGTAATGACATAGTAAGACTGCAAGTTAAAAAAAAAAACCCAAAACTGCTTATTCATAATAATGGATTTAAATTCATTCAGTATAATTACAATCACAGTTTTAAAATCAAAATGTGTTTAATCACACATAAGCCTTGGACTCTCAAAAAGTTATATTTATAGTTCTCTTCTTCAAAATGAACCTTTCCCCACATTGTTAGTCTTTCAACCTTGAAAAACATCTTACACATACATACACGAACCCCCAAAACAATTTAATAATAAAAAAGGAATACCATAAAGACACCATGCAGTTGTAGAATGAGTAATCAGCAATGTTCTTTCCTCTAATTTACAATGTCCAGCGTCCCTGCATTGTGGAGCCGTTGCGTCCACTGGATGACTCATGGCTACGTTTGAGTTACAGCTGCTGGGAATTGAAATCTAGTTCCTGCAAAGATTGATGGGTGAGTTTTCTTTCTTTGTTGTTGCTGTTTCACTACCCTTTGTTGTTAATTTTTGTTTATGTTCAGGACTTCATCATCATCATCATCATCATTAATCATCATCGCTCGATTTGTCAGCTTAATATCTGACTGAACTGAATAGATTGTCATGTGGATGTTTCAAGATTAAACACTGAGCTAGCCTGATTGCAGTAATTTCCCCCAGAATTAATAATACTCCTACTGTTCCAAACATCTTGGTCAAACCTCTTGAGTTTGCTTCATTTGCAGCCACCACAGGCTTAAAGGTCTGCAATTAATAAAAAGCAACACAACTGGGAACAATTACTTAGCAAAATTACTGGTCATTGCAGTTTAGCCTAAATTTCAATAGAGGGCATTATTTGAACACGTGGCTGCCAATGCACTTCACTTCAACAATGGCCTTATTCATCCATCGCAATCCCCTCCTTTGATAACATAACACACTATGACATGTAAAACAAAGACACAGCATTATGCTGCTGATTATTTTTGTTTCTGTTTCTATTGTGTGAAGGCTTCATACTACAGTAGTTAGATAATCGGTGCAGATAATGTACAGGGTAAGCAAATTAAGACTTAATAAGTATTAAAGTCACAATGGTCAAATTCTCACACCTCCTTGTGATTTGCTGCTGAAGAAACAATAACCTGCATGGGTTCTGAAAACTAAAGTATTTTTGTCACCATATATATTTTCATTGATCCTGTTCACCTGTTATATTGACTCCTTTATCTGCCATGTTTACTACAAAGTGCTGCTGTTTTTGAATTATTCACACAAATACGTTGCCACCTTGTTTTAAAGCGGATCATCATTACTATGTAGGGTCACCCTGGTAACTGCGATATCATTTTTTGCGTTCTTCAGGACCTTCTTTTCCAAACACATGTTGTAAGGTAATGCCTAAAAAATCCCTGAACATTTATCCATCTTACTTAACTATCTTTACTCAGCCCCAACAGACGTTTTTACTCCTTAACTCTGCAAAGGAAACCACACAGCCCACTTCCTCTCTCTTTGTGGCTTAGATAGACTGAACGAGAGTTAATAGACATAACTGAGAAAAATCCACATGAGCGGAAGGAGATGACTAAGAAATTAAGAGGTAAATACACATAGAAACTTTAGAAAGCTGACGCTCCTGAGCTTACAGTGTCACTGGTTTGCAGGAGTATCCAGCGTGAGATTGGGTTAAAGACACGACAGTGTCACAGAGACAGACTGTGCATCTTAAATTTACTGAAGCAAAAGCAAAAATGGAGGTGACACACGTGAGCAGAGCTCACGTGTGTCACATTGGCCCGAAGCCTCTGTGTGAAGTGACTGTTCATATTTTTTGTTGACACAAAATTAACCACAAAGAGGAATAAACATATATTTAAAAAAAGTTTAATAAACAAATGACAAAATCAATTTCTGCAATTGCAACAGACCTTTCAGAATTTATTTGTATACAAAAATATTCACATATTGTATGAGCCATGTTCACAGTCTTACATATTCAGATACTGAAAAACACTGACAAGTGGTTGTTGCATGCAGAAACCTCTTTCTTGGCATGTTCAAGCACAACCAGCCATTTCGAGATGTTCTCTTAATACGGCTTCTGACTACCATAATGTATTTCTATGTTTCTACGTTTGTCCTATATCTGTGCCAGGAACAGGTTGCCTACAGTAGCCTTATCTCAGTTTACTAAATTGAAATGCATTTTTACATTTTCTCCTAAGAAGAAACACAAAGTAAGGTGACCCTGAACAAACCAATCGACCAGCACTGCACCTGCAATCTCCTTTTTTTTTTTTTTTTTTAAAGTATATTTTTTGGGCTTTTTTATGCCTTTATTTGATAGTACAGTAGAGAGACAGGAAATGGGGAGGCAGAGAGAGGGGGAATGACATGCAGCAAAGGCTGTCTGATGCGGGACTCAAACCGGGGCCGACTGCAGCGAGGACTGTAGCCTCTACACATGGGGCGCCTGCTTAGACCACTACGCCACGCGACGCCCCTCACCTGCAGTCTCTTAACAAAAACTTAAACTCTTACTATTTTTTGCCATTAAACTTGACATCATCAAACTTAACTATCTTCCCACCACGTGTCACAACCTCCTTCTGCTCCCATGTTTCCACCTCCCCATTTTTCTCCTCAAAGCGCCGCACCACCACCCTCCCTGTTGTAGGCAGGTTGCAGGGCAGGTCCTTGGCTGCCTCTTGGTAGAGCCTCATTTTCATGAAATCCTGCATGAGGTCGGTTCCACCTGTCGGGACCAGAGCCTGGTTTTTGTTCTTGTCTTCATGCAGTGCTTTTAGTAATGGCGATGGAGACCTGTGCAGAGGGGCTGGATCCCTGTTGAACGGTGATGGCGCCCTGTTTAGTGGTGCTGGATCCCTGTTGAACGGTGATGGCGCCCTGTTTAGTGGTGCTGGATCCCTGTTGAACGGTGATGGCGCCCTGTTTAGTGGTGCTGGATCCTTGTTGAACGGTGATGGCGCCCTCCTCATTGGCGATAGATCTCTTTTCAGTGGAGATGGATCCCTCTTCAATGGTGACGGAGATCGATTTCTGGCATTAAGATGGGGTGCAGGTGGCTTTAAGAGCTCTCTTTGAATAGGTGTATGGGTGACGATGCCTGCACCTCCGGCCCTTCGTATGTCACTAATGACCCCCCCCATGGATGCCCTCAGGGAAGGGTCGGGCTCCACCATCCTACACACGGCGTGGCAGTACGGCTGATCGTGCAGGGTTTCCTTGATCTTGGCGGGGCAAACGCTGGGTGTGTACAGCCGAATCCGGGCACAGAGCTCAGCGATGATCTTACCCATGGCCCACACATCAGAGCGCTGGTCCCGCTGGTGGCACCTCCGCAGCACCTCAGGGGCTGAGTAGGCCTCGTTCCCCATGTCCATGGCAGAGTTGAGACCATGTCGGAAGAACTTGGCTAGTCCCAGGTCAATGATTACCGCTCTGTTTGTGTTATGTTCCACCTGGAGGCCAAAAGTTGTTTAGTTTAGGGCGGAAGTTCTTAGCTTTACAAGCAGGATAACATTCAACAAGCCAGTAATTCTGCTTCAGTTTCGGCCCATTGAGGAACCACGGATATCTGAACCAAATTTAATACAATCCATCCGACCGTCGCTGACATAACTCACTCTGAATCAGAGTGGTGGACCAACAGACCAACACTGCTAGCATGTCTAAAAAGTATGACAGGAAAACAAATGCAAATGGACAAAACACAAACAAATGAGGAAATGATCTTTACCATTTTGATAACACACATATCCCACTGAAAAAAGCTTGTAAATAAGTTTTAAAAAAATAAGGTAATAGAGAAACAAAAAGATAAAATCTGTTATATTGTGTTTTGCTCTGTTATGTTACAAAAGTAAACTATATTTACTCAGACTAGTTTCTGATTACATCCCTGTTTCTCCAGAATCGTAAAATATTAACCATTTGTGTGAAATTTTTTAATTGGTTCCAAATGTGAAGGATTCGCTTTAAGAGTTCCCGAGATATTGCATTCACAAGTCCAAAACCATATTTTGCGAGGTCACCGTGACCTTTGACCTTTGACCATTGACCACCAAAATCGAATCAGTTCATCCTCGAGTCCAAATGAAGGTTTGTGCCAAATTTGAAGAAATGCCCTCAGGGCGTCACGGAGATACTGCGTTCACAAGAATGGGACGTACAACCTGAAAGCTCTGGCTCTCGCCGGCGCTGAGGCATAAAAACTGATCAACGTTCCCAGATACAATTTTCTGAATTTGATTACTTGTCAGAGATTTAAGTTTTAACATTTTGATTACATGGTTCCAATATTATTGTAAATTCATTAGCGTCTCCCGTGTTCCTCGGAAACCTCTGGTGTGTTGCGTATCTGTATTTGTTTATTGTTTGTACGTGTCATTGCTTGTGCAGAGCAGTGAGCTCTCTTTGCCTCTGCAGATTTTTAATGGCACAATGCAACCATCCAAGCAGTTCTTCTTCACATTGTCTCTTTATGTGGTTAAATTGAAATAAAAATGAATTGAAAATCAAATTAAAATCTCAATACTGGCAAAATTTGGACTAATACACTGACGGTACAGCGTGGACACCTCTCCACTCACCATGATGTTTTCAGGCTTGAGGTCTTGATGGACAATATCTTTGGAGTGGAGGTGAAGCAGCCCCTCACACATGCCGATTATGATAGTTCCTTTATTAGCTTGAGTCAACTGTGGAGATGACAATTTGAGATGAAGTTTAAGCAGAATACTCACACCCTCTTTCTCATAATGAGTTGCACGCCCTATTCTTTCAGGCCTGAATCGGCCGCTTCTCAGAAGTTTGTGAGGCGTTAAACATTAAATCAGTGGTGTACAGTAAACGTTAAAACACTTTCAACATCACACATTAAAGGACTGACTTTTGTTGAAATAGAAATATGGCTTTGTTAGCTTTATGTCAGTATTCTTGATGGACAGAAATGAATCCAGATTTGTTCAGATTTCAGTCAGTAAGTGCAGCATGAGGTGATTATGACTCAGATTCTAAGGTTTGGTAAGTTGTAAAGATTTTACCGGTGCACACTACAGAAACCTGATGTGTCCCAAATTACCTTGATAGAAAGATACGAAAAATATCAGAACGTGGTTTTAACTACTATCCTTAATTTCATCTTGAATTATGTGCCTTTTTTCTGCCGTCAAATGACAATTTTACCTGTATTTTAGACTTTGACGCTTTGAAGATGGTGGTCTCCAGGTCTTCTCCAAAGATGAACTCCAGAGGAATGATCCATTTCCCGTCTTTGAGATTTATGTTTCCCAGAAGCCTCACTATATTGGGATGATTTGCCTTGCTGCAGATCAGTGGCATCGTTTGGGAGAAAGAGAAATTTGACAGTATAAAACCATGTGGATCCTCTATCTTTAGGTGAGCAGCTTCTGAGTGAATGTCCCGTAACCAAACGTCACATGCATTGTCTTAAAGAGGTTCGGGTTAGCAAAGTTAGAAGAAGAGAAGAAAGCCCAAGCTCTCCATGAAGTCAACAAAAAACTATTACTAAGGTCATAGTCTGCAAATGACAGTGTTAATATGTTTTATATTCAAGCTACCAAATAAATACTTACTTACTCTTGTAGCTACAGTGGAAATATTAAAGGAAATGAGGGACCCAACAAGTATCAACAATGTTACTTATAATACGTACAATAGATTAATGATGGTAACACATTATAATGTAGTTACAAGCAGACATTTTAACTGTTCATTAATGCGATTTCCTTTACTTTAATTAGGTATTATTGAATGATATCTTTATATGATAATGTGCTATACAAATAATCACATATTTGCTTATGATTACATTATAGTGTGTTATAAACCATTTATGAAATGTTTATATACGCTGAAAAAACAAAGTGTGGCTCATTTTTTCAAAATAAATTCTACAGTAAATAATTTCATTTCAAGCTCAATTAAGTTACCCTTGTTTTCCCATTTGTTTCCCATCTTTTTCTTAGCCATAAAGTTGCCACAACCTTATTTCCTCAGTTATTGCCTTCTTCTCTTGTACTTACATATCTGTATGTACCCACCATGTGTTTTATTGATAACCCATCAAATAAATTCCTGTCATTTTCAGGCTGCAGTTGAAAGCAGAAATGTGTATCTACCTGTTAAACCAAAGTGGTGCGATAAATTACTATCAACGTTTCCTCAAGAAAGACTATCCAATGTATTGCATGGAACCCAGCAATAATCTTTACTGGAGTGGATTCAACTTTGCTGAACTCACTAAGCAAACTATGGTTTCTGTCGTTTAACATTTGGTTGTCTTTAATTGTAAATGTGTTCTTGTTTCTGTCTCTTTTTTTGTGATGCGATAATACTTTGTGGTAAGACGTTTTTGTTTTAATTTGCATCACATGTAAACATGCCACTCTGAAATGTTCTGTTGTGTTGTTATAATTAAGGCAAAAATAGGAAATAGGAGAAGGAAGAAAAGGAAAACTTTCACCACATTATAAAAATATGGTGATTACTCAGCAGTTTTTTTTTTCCCTCTCTAACATATTGGAAACTTGGGTGTTTTCCCAGACTGCATTTTAATAAATGACCTTCTCCTTTTTAACTGGGACTTGCTTACTTACTTGTACACTTCACACTCTCTCTCCAGGTCCTTCTTACTGATTAGCTGGTGCGGGACCTTCTTTATGGCAGCCCAGGTGTCATTGTATTTCTCCCTGTACACCTTCCCAAAACAGCCCTGTGCCAGAGTGCCGGTGGAGTACGCCATCTGGGAGACGTCCTGAAGGCCTGCAGCACGAGAGTGAGCTCATTTTAATATTTTTGTTGAACTCCAGACTAAACAATGTAAATACAGTAGTCCCTGCAGAAAATGCAGGTTTGGTGAAGACTCTGATGTTGAGATTGTCAGACATTTTGACTTGTGGTCATCTTTGATGTTGTAGTTGGTGATGCTGTCATTGAATCCCCTGTTCCTTCATTCAGTGTTTATGTGTGTCTTCTTATAAGTCCTGTTCCTGTTCCTGTTTTTGAAGGAGGCTGGTGTGATTTTTGGGACTTTCCTCCTTGTCACCCTGCACAATGTTTGAGTGCTAGTGACTGTGATGTACTGGCAAATTCAGACAGGACCTACTGGTATGACTGTTGTTACTATTACGTGAAGGCAATTAAACAAGTGACTCATATTTAGCTTAATTCCAATCGGCAGGGTGTTTCAGTTCTATTTTTTAGCATAAAGTTATTTATAGAGTCACCAACTAAATCAATACCTCTAACAGCCTCCACACGGTGGAAAATACATTTACACAAGTACGCCTTTAAGGTAGTTGTACTTTACTTGAGTATTTCCACTTTATGCTATTTAACGGGTTAGTATTTTATTTTTTACACTAACAGAGAAGCAAGAGTAGCGAATGAAATATGCGTTGTTATGAATGAAACTCCTCAGCAGTATATAAAGTAGTTCTAATTAGCTTCACTTACAAATGTGCTTTAAACACAAAAATGCATCAGTAACAATGTCTAATACTATAATATAACACTTGCGGGAGCCACAAATCATTTACATCTGTTGCCTTCTGTTGTACTTCTGATAGTAAGTACGTTGTGCTGATTAAACTTCTACTCTAGTCTCCTAGTAGCTCAGCACTACTGTGCTGAACTGTCTAATATTTCTACACAAACCTCTCATCCTCCTTCTCTTTTAGCATGACTGAATCTGTCAACACAACCGTCCGTCAGAGAAAAAGGGCAAATATGTTCACATGAGTGAAATCATTCCCAGGAAGGGAGTGTCCCCTCAGTCTGCTGGGAAAGACAGAGAACTATGTGTTCTGCTCCCTGATAATCCGACAGAAATGCCATTTTACATTTTTCACTTGATTAGAATCAAAATTTGAATCGCTGAATGAATCAGAGATTTGGAACCAGGATGTCCTGAATGTCCTGAGTAACCTGCAGAACAGCTAACATGGATAAATAATACAAGCAAGCTGCTGCTCACCGCAGTGACCGTGTAAATCAACTATAACTGAACCTGTTGTTTAAATAGAAAAACAGACATGTTTATGGTTTTAAGAAATTTGACAGAAGATCAAAGTGTGTTGTATAACAGGATATTAGAGGAGATACTAAAAACCCGACAAACTGGTAAGTCCACAAGAAATGACAAGCGCGTCTTTGCATTGACTGGGGCAGGAAGTTGGCAACAAGTTCTTAAAAAGATTAGTCATACTCAAAGGACAGAGAGAAGTATAAAAGTATAATAACCAGTGAACATACGAAAGGCTCATCAGCAAATACATTCTAGTTAAATAAAGGTGCTTATCCTATAATTACCACCTCCCAAAGTGCTATAAGCTATATGATCCACAACCAAGATAATGCGCTGACAGGTTCAAAACAGCAGGTAAACAAAGAATGAAAAGGTTAATGGTAATTTCAATACTACACTATCCTACAAATGTGTGGATAAAATTGCGTAAGTAATCCTATACGTTTCCGAAGAAATCTACTCAGGGGCCTACCTTGTTGCTGTAGAGGGAAAGCAGCTGCGTCAGGTCTGAACATGAGATAACATAGTTGTCTCTCTTTATACCTGTTCCACGCCTTCTTGTATCTGGTCCATGGCCCTGAGCAAACGAGGTGAAGAATGAGAAACACGACATAAGATAGTGTGCCGTAGAACCAATGAGAATAGAGAATGTCAGCTGAACAGAAGGATGTTTGACTTCGTAATTCAGGCTGCATTGACGCTGCCAAGATGAGGGGAGGCGGTATTCCCTCTGGCATGATCACACACATATAGGTTGGTACATACACAGCAACAGATATAATATAATTCGTTATAGTAACTCTAATACAGTGGTTAGTTAGATTTTACAATACGTCAGAATCATGGATGGACCCATGGGTGCAGACACTTAAAAGGCCCCTCTCCCATGAGCACTGCTGTGCCATTTTGCATTATGATGGCAATGTTGGTACACTATTGGATGGATTTCCCTGTTTTGTATATTTATCCATCTATATTTTTGTACATTGCATGCTTTTATTAGAGCGACACAGGGATGATAGGAAATGTTACAGGGAGAGAGAAGAGGATGACATGCATTAGGGACACTGAAGGTCATGGCTGTCACTTTACTCCCTCGGGCGCCTAGATCATTTCATTTTGTCCAGTTACATGTAAAACTAAGACACACTCCCATCAGCTGTCTTGGTAAATGCAAATGTTAGCATGCTAATATGCTAACTAACATGTTAAAGCACGTTAGCTTTGCCGCTGTGAGCGTGTTCGACATTCTGATGTTAGCATTTAGCTCAAAGCATCACTGTGCCTCACAGAGCTGAGAAGACTGAAGACTCTCAGTCTTGTTAATGTAAGCTAGAACCCAATAATTCAATCATCAACGCTGAAGGGAATGTGAGTTGTAGGTGTCTGTTCTGCTGTCAGACAAGTTGCTTTGCTAATTTTCATGTTGCTAGCATTACAGTGGACTAACTAGGCACTGTGCAGCAATATTAGGGGCAAATCCACAAAAATAAACATTAAATCAACAGATATTAAACATCATTCGGACATCCCTACTTTGGACTAAGCCCTGTGATTTTCCAAAGCACACTGACTTTAAACGGAGGGTCTGATCACTGTACAGATGGGTGACAGATAAAGTCTTATTTTAAGCTGCTGGGCCACATTGAGGATCCAGGGCATCAATGCTTCTTCTTATATGTTTTCCAAGTCTCTGACTCTCTGCTGGAGGGATCAACAGCATTCTTCCAAATTATATTCCTCTTCTTGGTATTCTGATGATGACACATGAGGTAGTTGAATTAAAAAATAGTTGTTTCAGTTTCACTAATAATAGTTCTGGTTGCCATTACTTCATACCCAGTTGCTGTTAAGCATTACTCACAAACAGTAAATGCTACCGTGAGTACTACTCCTGACATTAGTTGGCATCACATCCTCCGCCCTCGCTCTTATTGTTTTTTTCCCCACTGAGGGACACTTCATAGAGTCTTATTCAAATGGTGTGGTTTCATTACATTTCACTAAGAGGTGGCTGGTAAATACAGCTTTCACAGGAAATAATCTTTGATAGGAAAATCTGCCCCAAGTTCAGACAATTCTTGTCTTTATTGTCCTGCCAGTAGCTACCACTGAGCACCCTGGTGTCATGCCCCCAGTAACTGGGACTTTGGGGATTTTAGAAACCAGGGGGGAGTTTACGTTCTCCAATTGAGAAAATAACCTTGGTGGATATTACACAGGCTCATTCTAGTCTTTTTAGACTTTTAATTAACTATAGGTGATGATGATGATGATGATGATGATGATGATGATGATGATGATGATGATGATGATGATGATGATGGAAACAGCATTTACATTTACAGAAAAAATAATTCACTGAATAAATAAAATAGGGAAAATTTAGCATGTTGACCAACATACACACTTGACTCACTTGCACTCCTCAGAGCTTGGTCAGAATCAGTCTAAAAAGTGACACCAAACAAAATGTACAGAAATTCAAACATGGCAAGAAATTTTTCTTCCCTATTTGTAAAATATGACGACCCTGTTTTATATGCACTCTTCTAACAAAATATGCAAATGTTGGTGAATTGATTTTGGGATATTAAAATAATTTACTTTTTCACTTTACTTAATTTTTTTCCTCCTTTTTAATATTGATTGTATTTAATATTTAAATACATTTTTTAATGTTTGTATTTGACCTTTAAATCGTGGTTAAGCCCCTGCCTTGCAGAACAGCCTCAGTGATACATGAGAACAGAAACATTGCCAGATGTTAGATTTCAATGAAACAATTTCAGCTGCATTACTGATGATGGATCAGCAGGAAGTTGGCAAACTGATTTTTCAAAGATGGCAGTGTTACTTTTCTTGTTTCTCTGTCACTGTCTTCAATGAGAAATACATCTCAAGCGACCACTCACAGCAGGATTTTTCCTTTCCCTCACCTCCTACTTGAGTTGCAGTGAACTGCCATCATTCTTCCTACATATGTGCAAACAAACACAAGGACAAAATGACTAAATGAAAAATGAAAGCGATTAGCCTAAGTAGGTCAGGAGAGTGTTGAGAGTGAAAGAAAGAGGAAGTCTGATTCATTGCGTGCTTACTTCAGTACATTCAAGGACACGAATGAGTTAAAACTATGAAAATGTGCAGAAATATCTGCTTAGGGGAACGTTATATTCGCATGTGTATTAGAGCAGTCTGCTTGTGAAGACACATCGTAATGGCAGGTGTGAAGTTTGCCCTCTCTTTCACTCTCTCTTCCGGTTTGTCGCAGATTATGAAACATGTTAGCACATAGCTACATGTGTTGTGGAGGGTACTCACTGAAAAAGCTCTTACTTGTAAAAATCCATTTCTTCTGAGGCTGTTAATTAATAATAATCATACACGAATGATAAAAAATCTTGATTAAAATGGACTCACATGATTAAGTAAAGGCTAAAGAAGGAAAGAAAGGAATCAATTCTAAAAAACAAAAAAAAAAGTTTCTCCTGTGCTCAGCCTACTTTGTACATCGAAACCACATGTAAGGACGTCCATGTTGTCCGGTTCAAGTGAAATGGATGACTTGCAGACTTCGGCATAGAGGATCAGTAATGGTTTTTCTCCACCAGATGGGGATGTACTATTGATAGTTGTTATATCTGCACTTCATGTAGCCTACTTCATGCACAGTTACTTCCTGGATCGGGCTCATTCATTGGAGAAGTCCTCAACAACAAGTTATCCACTGTGCTGAAGCTCATTTGACCGCCAACAATGACCCACCCAACGGATGATTTTTTCTGTCCTCAGCAGAAAAGTAAGTTTGGATACTTATTTAATTTTATTGATTCAGGAAGACATTCAGAAAGCTTTTTTACTGTGCTCATCTTCAAGGGCCTTTTTTCATTCTCAGCCTGGAAACCGGCTTTAACTGGAAATCAGTCTGTGCTTTATGAAGCCCAAAACTCGTTTTTTTTTTTTTTTTTCAAATCACAGGTTTTTATTCATTTCAGTGACAAAAAGAAATAGTTTTATTAATGTTTTTGCAGCTGAGATCATACCAGTAACAAGCTAACAATTAAAACAAAAAACCTGCGTCACTCTTCCTGCAGTTATGTTGCTTACATTCCTTGACATGCAGTGTTGCTGTTATGCATTAACTCATTATAAGTAGTATTAGTAGCAGTATTATCTCGCTGTTGTTAATCGCCAGGGGGATTTTAATGGTCAGCATTAAAGAGTATTTTTATCTGATGAACAGGTTATGTATACATTATTAAGTTTACACAACAAATCCTGTAAACTTTAATCTAGTCTAAAAACTAAAAAAAAATGACGTTTTGCAAATGAAAACCATTATTATTAAGTTAATTGTATTTCGTTTTACACTTGAAGGTAGCCAGGGTCCCCACACGCAGGAAAGTGGGTATGTTTCTGTCTCTTTTCCCCCTTTTATTAACTTTTACAATCATATCGATGAGATTAATCTGAATGTCATCTAATGCGATGCTCAGCCAGCGATGGCTGGAGTCATTTTGATTAATGTTTGTTTCCATTGATGCAGCTAAAAATATAAAATATATGTGTATATATATTTTAATGTATTTCACATGTATTCCTCTCTTTATAACAGTGATGCTGGCTTCTCCTCCAACATGGAGCACAGGTTTAGTGATAATTACAATGAAAATGCTTTGCCTGTAGCAGATAAAGGCAGCTTTGTGATACCCATTCCTAAAGAGGAACTAGGGGTTTGTGAGCGGCCTATGGGAGGAGAGATAGTGCCACAACTGCCAGACCTTGAATCTCCTCCCTGTACAAATGGAAAGGCCCCCAAAAAGCCTGAGTCACAGTCTGTAGCAGCTCTAGCTCAAGAAGACAACTTTCCACCACAAAGCAGGCCGATAGCCCTGTCAGAGAACGGCCTGCAAGAGGACGCTATCAACACTTTATCCAGAACAGCAACGATTACGGAAGGAGAGCCGGAATTAGAGAACTGCACCATGGATGCCGGAGGAAACCCAGCGAAACCGAAATGCCCGTCATCTGTTCCCGTGGGTGTTAGGAATGGCAACCACCCCAGGAAAAGAGCTACAGGGAATAACTGGAAATGTAATTAGAATTTCATATTTCATTGATTTTAAATTGCTGCTTATGCTTTATTGAACGTATCACATTTTTACTATTTTTGATTATAAATAACATGGAATAATATACATGTATGCAATATTTTTTAAATCGTATACACAAAGTGGACACTTTCTCTTGTATACTTATACAATCTATTTCAAGTCATGCCATTAATTTGACCTTTATGAAGTTCATAATGTTCAGTTTTTTTGCTGACATTGTTGGAATTTCAATTATATATTTATTACAGGACTCATAGTTAAAGGAGGTGGTACTGGGCTGCATTATATTGAGATGTAATTCAGTTGTTTTGTCCTTCGCATCTACGAACATGAGGAGAACACATTTCAATATAATGCAGTCCAGTACAGCATAAAAACTATGACGTCAATATTAAATCATACCGTATGAATAAATAAATAAGCAACATCAACCATCATAAAAATGGACAATTATGGCAGAGCAATTGTATTGGGTTGCAATTTCCATCTTAGAGTGTAATAAAACTACTAACTCATGAGGAAACGTGATTTTTATCAGTTTTCTTTGTCATTTTTTTCCAGTTTGCTTTTTCCTGGCACTTACATGCATTCCTGTGTCTGAGGCCTTTCCTGGTAAGTGGTGGGAAGTGAATATAGTTCCATATTACTCAACTATTATACAGTGCATCTCTATATTTATACTTTCTTTAAGTTAAATTGTCCTGAATAGAAGCTAAAATAATTTTCTATAGTGTACTCTGATCATTATTTTGACCATTAATGCATATGTTTTTTTAACTACTTGATATTGATATTTCCTTGTATTATAGGAGCTCAACCTGCAGGAGACCAAAAGTGTAAGTTACATTTTATAAAACTGTTTTGTGATTTTTTATCATAGTAAGAGATGTTTGACACTCTTGCTCTGAAATTTACACACATTTTACCCCGGGGAGCTCTTCAGCTGCGATCATCTGTTACTCATCAATGTGTTTTTGCTCTTTTACTTACCACAGACCAGCGCTTCATCTGCACGGACACGGACAAATGCCCAGAGCTGATAAACATATACGGACACGATGACACTCTTCTGTACTCTCGAGACCCAAAAGCAGATTTTCCAGTCTGTTCTGATAATTCTTTACCTGCTCTGAAGAACTGCTCAGTTTGCCGTGACCAAGACCAAATCATCATCATTTGCCAAGAGGACGTAGGGAAATTAGAGGTGGAAGCCAGCGGTGGATCGACTATTCAAAACATCTCCCCTGTCCGTAAGTATGCCCTGAATGTATTCAACATGTACCTCTGCTGTTTTTGGTTATTTGCCGGGCACAAAATTAATAGACACCAAGGTTGTCACTGAACTAAATCTGGATTAAAATAGCGAGTTTTTTTTTTTTTTTTATCTGATATAGAAGCTACATTTGACTCAACACAATTAAAATGGGCAGTGTTTAATTGTACCAAACAAAAATCCCACACACTGTTAATTTGCAACGTTTTGGTGCTTGACCTTCATCGGCAACATTATGTTTGCTACTTTCGATCGGTTCCTCCGTCTCCTACGCGCCTCTCAGTAAACGGATGAGCGAAATGTTCCTCTGCTCTGAATATTTAATTGCTCTAAACTCCTTACTCAATGTTATAGTCTCTGAAATGGTTATAGGGGTTTTCCCTGAAGCAGCTGTGTAGCGGAGTGGTAAACAGCTGAAGATCGCAAATGAACAGTCAGCAGTCCAAAAGTATATTTTATATATATTTTAGCTCTGTGACTTTTTAAATTTATTTATTTTTATTTCATAAATGTTGTATTTTCTATGATGTTAGCAATGTTCACAGTGTTTAAGGCGGCTCACCTCCCACCAGATTATACACTCAGTTGGCAGTTTATTAGGGACACCGAGCTAAATCCAATGCAGTCTAATACAACAATTCCGCAATAAAGCCTTCCTTCACGAAGGTTATGATGTTCAGTTTTTAATTTAAACTGGTGTTTTTTTTATTATTTTGTCCATCCAATTTAATTCAATGAGGGTATGTTAAATAACAGAAACACCGCTCTGTACAATGCACCATAGTTCTACAGCACCACAGACTACGTCCTCAAAAATGACCAATTTCAACAAAAACATGAAGGTTGGAAATATATTTTAAATATGAATTGCAGCCGTATCTTAGTATCATATAATCCCAGTATTATTCCCATTATATACATAAATCAAAAGGGATGAATTGGATTGGTTCATGTTTTTGTGTGTAACACTGCAGGTGTTACAGCACAGGTGAGGTTTGCGCTTCATATATTGTACATGTACAGCTAATACTGTATACAGGATGTAACAGCAACCTTTAATCTCCCTTAAATAGATTGTGCCATCCTGAAATCATCATTAAATTTTAATGTTTTTATTACAAATAAAACATATGAATCCATTAAAACATAAAATGTTGTGGAGTTCCTGATTCCTGTTTTTAAAAAAAAAATGTATTTCTTCTTCTTTAGGTGAAGAGCAGCAGCAGCCAAATAATCATGCAAATACTGGACTGAGTTCCAGCTGTGGTACGTACTAAACACAAGCACTGATTGTCATTTTGTCACTGATATTTATTATGATGGCTTTAAATGTAGTTGCCAGAACGCTTATTATTTTTGTTGCTGTGAATCAATATGATAGCAATGTGTTTTCATTCTGTAGGTCTCGTTTTGATTGTGGCTGCAGCACTTGGTATTTGCAACGTAAGTATGACTCAATATGATCGGTGATCACACAACATGTTCAACTGAAAAACAGTATCAAATGAAATCAGATTTCTGTATTAGTCACTGAGGTGAATATAGTTAAGTGCTATTCAAAAAATAAAAATGATTGCGTGTTTTGGATATGAATTAATTTGTTTTTTATTTTTTCCTTTTAGTGCTTCTAAGAAGGTAAGTGCTGTCTTTTTTTTTTTTACTGAGCCCATTCATCATTATCATTTCTGTTTCCAGAATTAAGTCAACAATTTTAGCACAAATCACTCATCTACTTACCTAAACAGGATTTACACAAAGTCTCAGTCTAACCAAAACCTCACCTTCTCTAAAATATTAGTTTCAAATATGAATTCCATAGATACGGGAGTGGACTAGTTATCTCTACAGCGACCCTGAGAGCTCCACAAGCTGCAAACTTAAAACATGGAAATAGGCAAAACAGTAAAAAAAATTCAGAAATTCAGAAAACATCTTCACCAATTTGACAACATGTGCTGCAAATACTCACAACACAATGGAACAGGCGCAGGTTCGAGTCTGAGCCCCTGGTCCCCTCTCTCTCTCTCTTTCTCCCTGACTTCCTTGTCTCTCTCTCTCTCTCTCTCTCTCTCTCTCTCACTGTCCCTATGGGAATAAAGGCAAAAAACGACTTTAAAAATAAAGCGATGAATCTGGTTGGGATGCGCTTGCATGGATGTTTTATAAATACATAATTCATCCGACATACAGATGTTTTCTGAATTAGTTTGTGTTTTGTCTATTTGCCTATTGGCATGTTTTTTCTTAACTTGCACTGCGTTGAGCTCTGCGCTAGACACTTAAATGCCTTAGACACATACGTAAATGTGTCCCTGATTTTAATATGCATTTTTTTTTTTTTTTTAGTATGTGTCTTGTTTTTAATATGTGTGTTTTTTTTTTTACTTGTCCATCATATCCGCTTGACCGGAGGAGAATGATATCTCGCTCCCATGTATTTAAGCGTAAGATATGGAAGTGACAATAAATCTGAATCTGATTCTCAAGGCCACCATAGGTCTCACTAATGGACTGTGAATATCTTTAATTTAATAGATTCACACTTGACACACTTTCCCCCCCTTTTTTTTTGCAACAGGTGAAAAAAGGTCAACATGCATAATGAAAGAGAAGACAGCAGAGGCCATTCTTTCACCAAGCTATTTTTATTTTTCAATTAATTTTTTTGTTGTAATTTTTTTTTTGCAGTCAAGTGTGTGTATTGAAATTGCTTTAGCTTTCATATAGGTAAAATAGCTGCATAGTTGTTTTTTTTAAATGAATAATTAATAATTAGATGAATCTGGACTCAACTATTAATTGATTAGCAAAATATTTACAGATGTGTACATGTGCACCTATTGTCTTAGCTGTTAGCAACATATGGTTCTGTCATTATTCACAGCACTGACACTAGGCCATGCCATAGAGCTGTTGTTGAATATTCACTGGAGGACGAAGTATTTAGATCTTTAACTTAAGTAAAAGTTGCAGCACCAGAGTCCAAATATTCTGTTGCAAATCAAAGTCCTGCATTCAAATTGTTTTATTTAAGCAAAAGTATAGCTTAGCTTAGAAATATCATCATCAGTAAAAGTACTAACAAGTACTAAACATGCAGAATTCACATATTATTTCATTAATTCAATGTTTAAAATGAATGTGTAAGCATCATTTTTATGTTGAAGCTGCTAGAGTCACTGTTGATTTTGGGTGTGGTAGCTAGCTGTTGCTACTATTACTAGCTATCACTTCCCAATGTACTGTTGGGAAGTAAAAAAAAAACCTCAACCCTGCAATAACTGGGCCGTACACACACGCGCGCGCTCACACGCACACGCACACGCAACAACCACACACACACACACACACACACACACAGGTTGACCATTAACAAACAGTGGCCTGATACTGTTATCAGTGTGGTCCGGATCGTACCAACTCGTGGGTGGGTGAAACTCTGTTGCTTCAAAGTCTAATTTCTACATTAAAAAACTAAAGTAAATTGGCAAGGAGACTGTTTTTATTCTGTTATCGTGTCCTGTTCTCACCGCCGTGTAGTCACACGAATCCACCATGGACAAAAACAACACACCCCAAACAATTTACCCACCCCTGTATTTCGCAACACGTCTGCGAGCTCTCACCTGGCTCCTGCTCGCCTCCAGCACTCGAAGACACAAAATGGAGTTGACGCTACCTGGCTGAGGAAGTCCAGTGGCGCTCAATATAATGCTTTACCTGAAGTTTTTCTTTGTGTGTTTGATAAATTAATATTAGTTACATCGACTGAGACACCTTGAAAAGAGGATTCAAAATGTTTTGGAGGCTGATATTCGCCGCTTTAATGGCAACAGGTGAGTTCGCATTTTCTGTTTTAGCCAAACAGGGTGGGCCCTCTTCCGTGAGAAGTACTTTGATAAATACTGCTTCTCTTGTGTCCTGAGTCTTTACATTTTTGACACGTTTTTGTTAGTTTTTCCTCTTGTAGTCATAGTTTTGGGGATATTTAAATCCGTGTACGTAATTATTTACTGTGAAATAGTATTAAATTACCAGACAAACAAGAATATAACAAGCTCTTAGAAAACAAAACAAAACAAACAGAAAAAACAAGCGTATTCTTGCTGGTTGTGGTTTTCACATACCGCGAATAGTTTTTTGTTGAAATTGGTATTTTGTGTATGAAAATTTACCACTGTAAAAAAAAAACAAAAAAAAACCTGTAAACAAAACCCCTCGATCACAAGGTTGTTGTAAACGTCACCTGTAAAATGTAAAACATGTATTAAATGCTTTTACAGCGTCTTTATTTTACATTTTATCCAATGTGGTGTCATATTTCCATAAGTAACACACTGATACTAGAGCTACCCGCTCTCACAAATGTCTTCTCTTTTTTTTTGTATGTTGTTGTTGGCCAGCGCCTGCAGGGTCCTAAAGTTAAACCCACACCAGTGAGAATAGTTAACATAGTTCAGTGAATTGAGGGTGCACGAGATTCAACATTACACTTGGAGCATGAGACAGCTTGTTACACCCACAATACTGAGTAGTCTCTGGCTGGGCTCTCTCGTAAACCTACTCACTGTGTATTTAGGTCATTGACATACTTTTATTGTGGCACAAAAAAGTTACATGCATTAATGTAATGCAGTTTTTCACAGTTCTCTTATTTTTTTTTTATTAATAAATCCTGTGTGGCACCATATTACTGTGAGATTTTTTTTAAATTTATTTAAAAGATGTAAAGACTCATTTCTTTGTTAAGTCTGCTTGGAAAAGTTAATGCATCTAAAACTACACTTGGTACACATTTTGTTGTGCTGTGTCATATAGTTCCTTATATGGGCCTGTACATTTAAGAATAGCTTAAATCAGAACAGACAATGCAGCTAACAAGCAGCATTGTAAACACATGTTTGGATAAATATTTATGTCACTGTCAACAAATCCTGTGAAAGCACCAACACGACAGGTTTGCTGTCTAATGTCTGGTATCAGTTTGATGTCTTTTCTCAGAAATGTTATGCATTGTAAGTGACTTAGCTGGAAAGGTCAGGCTGAAAACAGAGTGTGCATGAGGTGACTCATCGCACCCGCTCTCGGTGATACTAGTAGTGGTAAAGAAAAATTTGTTTTGTCATGTACCACACCCTTGGGGTACTGAAGACAAATTTTTACCCAATATTACAAATACGTGTAACATGTTAATGATGATAATGATCATCCTCCACCAGTCCCATCCATGTAAAACTGTATTTTTTAATTCTTTCTAGAGTCCACTGTGGCCATTTCAGTGCAGTGCCCTACCAAGAGGTACATTGTCATCCTCTTCCAGCCTGTCACCCTGACCTGTAACTACCAGACAACCGCGACTCAGTCTCCTGTTGTCACATGGACGTACAAATCATATTGCCGGGACCCCGTCCAGGCTGCGCTAAATCCCAGCAGCGCAGATAACATCCTGTCTCAGAACAACCCCAACTATGACCCCAACATCGAGTGTGCCGACAGCCAGAGGACGGTGCGCATCGTGGCCTCCAAGCAAGGCAGTGGTGTTTCCCTCGGCACGGAGTACCAGGGCCGCAAGATCAGCATCATGAACAGTGAGTTGATCAAAACCTGTGCTCTGCAATCCCATTCAGATGTATAGTAAAAACCGGATGTTGACTTGACAGTTAGAATTTGTTTAAAAAAATATTATAAAATGTAATTTTAATGTAAATATATAATGCTATGAAATTAGTCAAGGTGAATACAGATTTTACAAAAGAGCCACAACTGTTAGTCAGTCAGAACAGAAATCAACAGTTCAGCATTCAATACTTTCCTACTATGTCAGAGGTTTAAACAATTCTCTTGAATTTCTGTGTAGAGCTGCTCCTGAGACTGAATCACAATGAATGTGGGAGGACAGATGATAGGATGTTGTACTTTCAATATGTTGTCAAATGCGTGGCACAAATTGGCCCCATATGCACCCCTCCTCCTTTGTTCTGTTTTGGATCAGCCATGAGTCAGGCGCGGCCAAGATGGTGAAGGCGGAGGAGCCTTCAGAAACCTGTGGGTGACATCACATCAGGCCAACTTTATGTAGTTTATGACAGTGGATTTATGACGAGTCTGTGTATGTCCCTGCACAAATTCCTCTCACCTCAACACAGCTGCTGGCCAGTCTGCTATTCTGTTATTGACCTTTGAGTCTTTCTCACCGTCTTACTCACTAATGAGGGACAAATTACCCTGGAGGACACGAGGAATCTTTTAATGTTTTACTGTCACTATGCATGTGAAACAACACTGCAGTTACCATTGTAACGCCTGTCAACATTGCAGTGCAGTACACCACAAACTGTGGCCTCTGAATAGATTATACAGTTGAATTACCACCTCTTTAACTCAGTCTCAACAAAAAGTGAACATCATAAAAACTGGACATTCATGACGGTAGGATTTGTTGTATTAGATTGCATTAGTTTGAGCTTGGTTTTCCTAATGAACTGACAACTGAGTGTATATTGATATTGTATTAAAATGTCATACAAAAGACGTCAACACAACGATACATGGTTGAGGGTTCAGCAAGTACAGGTGTGAGTAAGGTTAATGCATTAGCTGAGACTTAACAGTTCTTAGTGAAGCGACTAGGTTGGTTTTAATGACAAAGGCATGAGCTCGCTCTATTTTTTAGATCATTCATGCACAGAGAGGAAAACCTTGCTGCATCTTCAGTGTCTCCAGTGAATTACACCAGGTCGTCTCTCACATGAGAGTCTGAGTCATCTTATTGACATCTGGCCCATTATTTCATTCTTCCTTTCACCCACCACCCCCCAACACAGGCTGTTTCCAGAGAAGTGGTGCTTCCCCAACACACACACACACACACACACACACACACACACACACACACACACACACACACACACACACACACACTGCTGTGCAATGCTCCCTTGAAGTTTTTTCAAACTCTCTTTTATACATGTGTGGAGAATTGCATTTTTAAAATTCTCCACCGCCACATCTCCCCTCCCCCCGCAACAGTGGGGGGAGGGGAGGAGAGGGGAGGGAGGGAGTGGGCTGGTTGGGGGATCCTATTGGAGTTAATTACTCGCGAGAGCGCGGCCTTGAAAGTGACGTCACGTCAGGCACCAGGTCAGAGTCAGAGAAGTGAAGTCGTGAGGAATAAGGCAGCGAACTACCGGAGAAAAGGTAGACTTATTAGCCAACTCAGTGACGCTAACTTGGGTAAACTAATTGATAGCATTAAGCTAATATCTACACGTCATTATGTATTAACTGCTGACTGCATTTTCAGATGAGCTTGTTCAGATACTTCTCTAAGAAGAGAAAGACAACAGATGAAGAAGACGCTAGTCAGGTAGCCTATCATAAGCCTTTTACTGACTCGTAAATGATGATGGTTAGGTAAAAAATAATATTTTAATGTTCACACTTGTAATCAGATGTGATGTGAGTGTAAACTATATAACGCTGAAAATCAAGTGCTCTGAGCCTGGGTGCAAACTTTGCCACTGACTCTACAGCCCCATCTAGCTGATCTTTTTAAATGTTATTGTTTTATTTATTTTTTACTTTTTACATTTTCAACTGGTTAGAGTTGAAGTAACATTTATTTTCACAAACCAAAGGTTTTTATTTTTTCTTGACATTGTATATGGCTGAGATATATTGTAAAAGTTCAATGGAGCGATAAAAGCATATTCAACTGGCCAGCAATAAATAGGTTTTGAAAGTAAATCTGCTGTCAGCTGCTCATTTGGTCATTTGTGTATGCCCCCCCCCCCCCTCCTCCGGAGAGGTAAACAGCAACCCCCCCCCCCCCGAGAGCATGCCCCCACTGCTGAAAAAAACCCTGGAGGAAAACTGCCACATCACCAGAATTTATGCAGCGTTCACCACTGTGCAATTTATCAAAATAAAGATGAAATGAGAAAGAAAACACAGAAATCATAATTTTATAGATGGAAAGATGAGGCTGCAGAAGAACACACACACATATTCTGCTATTATAAGATTTTAATAATAAAATAATAATAAAAAATCTTTTTTTTTTTTCCACAGATGCAGATCTGAACATCGCACAGACCGCATGGGGCGACAGTGGTGTCTATATCTGTTCTGTGGTCTCGTCACAAGACCTTACAGGGAATGGCCAAGACTACACAGAGCTTATTGTCCTCGGTGAGTGAACGTCACAGGCGTAATGACTCCTCTCTGCTTCTCCTTTTCTTGGCTTTTCTGATCCAAATTCCCACGTGCAGCTATGAGGTTTTGAAATAATCAAGGACAGACATCTTCAGTTCACAAATTTTGGCCTGCCACGTTTTATAAGCGGTGGATGAACTAGTCTTTGGGTAGATTTACAGTAAAGACAGAAGCTGCGTTCAGAATAAGTCTGTAGGGTCATGATTTGTAAGCAGCGACACCGAAACCACGGGGCACATTAAAGTAATTGTGGCTTTATCTTTCTTTCACAGAGAGAAAGTCAAATACTACTGACCTCCTGCCTGGCATTGACTTACTGGTCATGGAAGGTAGTACAAGCCCCTTGATATATAGCTCAGTCATGTTTTACTCCACTACACTAGGCGGGTACGAGGGAGGGCGAGGTGCAGTTGTTATAGAGATGGGATTGACAAACATTTCTTAACATCCAAACTGGAATGCTTGAGGTCACTCAGCTTGACAGTTTAGACCTTCAGTAGCTTTCAGGCCAAGATCTGCCTTCATGTGCACGATTTCAGACAAACAACTATGAACACACCCCTGAATTAAAGCTAAAAACATCCTGTTGATGATGTGAAACCAACTGTTCTGCTTATGATATGTTTCACCTGCATCTAACTTTCTCTACCGCTCACACACTTTGTTGTCTATCTCTGCTTCTCTCTTGAATGTGGCTCAGCTCCCATGTGTGACTTTCAGTGGTGATTGCAGATGGTCTGTGGCTACCCGGTTGCAACAAAAGGACATTCAGCACACATTTTCTTATCAGTGTGCCTAGCGAAATAATGTTTTTCTTTCCCCTCTGTGCCTTGCTATTCCATTTTCCATTATACTTGATTCATTTAAACAAACAATATCTCCCCTCTCTTTGCTGTTTTTTGTTTCTGTCCTGAGTGACGTGCTGCCTGAGCTAACTTGCAGACTGAAAACATACCTTGGTTTACGAGAACGAACCGGCTTTACCGGTTTGACAAAACGTTTAAAAGACCCAAATTACCACTCGTGCTAACATGCTCTGTGATCTGAACATGCCTCAATGATCATCCGATGAGTCAAGCTGGATTGTTTTGGATTTTTAAGCAATAAGCGTCAAGGGGTGTGATCAGACCGCGGTGCTCCGAGAGTCTAAACTGACTCGGTCAACTTACAAACTTCTGCTACTTTCTGGTTGAGTGCTCTAGAGGGATGCATTTACATATCACTGCCTACACACTGCCTAGAGATTTTCTGTTCAAAAAGAAAATCCGACCAAAGCGGAATTTCTGTTGTTCTACTACAGTGAGTCACACAGAAGCAAATATTTATATATAGACAGCTCTGTCTGTAGATCCGCTCTGAAAACTAACACAAGCTCTGTGTGTGTCCCTTTATTGTATGAATATGAAAGAACTGAAAAGGCAGAAAATGGCTTTTATTCTCCTTTTTTATTTTTGTCTTACCTGTAAAAAGTTAAAAAAAAAAAAAAATCTTTAATATAAATCTATCTAATGCCGGTTCACACAGACTGGCTCCTGGTTGTTTTGGTGGTGTTGGGCTTCCTGTTGCTGCTGATGCTGATTGGGATCTGCTGGTGCCAGTGCTGTCCACATACCTGCTGCTGCTACGTCAGCTGCCCCTGCTGTCCAGACCGCTGCTGCTGTCCACGAGCACGTAAGTACCACTTGTAATCTTTACTTTACCGCATGTCACCTAGGGCTGGGTGTCACTCTTCACTTCACACTTCAGGTATTATATTTTTTGGGTTATCTGAGCGCGATGTACAGGAACACCTTGGGGGAATTTTTAAATTTGGTACAAGCTTTCACTATGACTCAGGGATGAACTGACACGTTGTTAACTCATAATCATGACACAATTAAACACAAATGCCTAATAGGATAATGATGCAGTGATGACATTTTATTTCCGAATGGTCAAAGGTCAACTTCACTGTTCTGCTGAAACGCCTCTGGCCATTATTCAGCGCTGTAACTCTGAAGGGGAGATGTTGTCCATAAACAAATGTCTGGCTTGCAGAGGAATACAACCGTGAGGCAGTAATTCTAGTTTAGACTGAATAAAGTGTCTGAATCTGCCGGTAGCAAACACTGCCAAGTACCAGAAGCTGTCATTGAATGTCTGGTCAGATTCACATGTCTGCATTGAACACGTATGATTTTTGGCACGTTTTGTTAAATGATTAAAGGTTAGTACATGTACATGTTTACATTCCTCATATAGTATCTGGGTTAAACTTGTTGAAAAACCACAACAAAGGATGGATTAAAATATACTTACAGACCGCTCAAAAAAAGGGGTTAAAAGTTTAAAATCATCCGATGAGAGCAGATATTTTTAATTCCTTTTGTGATTCATTCCATTTCATATGTTGCAGAGCACTGCAGCGCACTCTTCCCAAGCTCAGGATTTATTTGTGGTGTGACAAAGATTAGCCAGTCCTGGGATCTGCTCTGATGAACAGTATTTTTAATATGTGATATAAGACGTCATACACTGAGGCAGCTTTACACAATAATGAAACAGTATTCATCTCCTGTAATGAAATGAGATGTACTACTGGTGTAACTCGAGCTGTTTTAAGGTAGAGTGAGCAGCGTCAGAGTACGGGATAGTCGAGCACTGACATGATGGGTGATTTCATCTGTGGTTGAGAAATGTTTTTGTGTCTGTGATGCGTAACATAACTGAGTGAAACAAATGACTGTCTCGGTGTAATGTGATTATGTCATTCGACACAATTAAATGTCACATTGCAAATCCTGTAACTACACGAAAATGGGTCCTCTATTATTGTGATATCAGTACTCAAACTTGGGTATTAAAAAATTGAAGTGGTGCAGCCAGATTAAAAAATGGAGAGTTGTTTAATCTTACTCAATTTTTTCATGTCACCGACTCCTGCTCTTGTACTGTTGTGCTTCTTTATGTGCCTGATTTTCACAGTTTACTTCAGGATTGTTTAAACAGTGTGGTTCAGCTAACCAGTGCTGATAAAGCACAATTTGAGTTTCCATTTTCATTGCTGATCAGAAAGATTAGATTCTATGAAACGGTATTGAACTTTTAAAGCGACAGTTAACGACTTTTTGATATGTACTTATTTGCTTTCTTGTTGGGAGTTAGATGAGAAGCTATAGTTTGTATGATAAATACAAAGCTGGAGCCAAGAGCCAGCTGGCTTAGCTTAGCACAAGAAGACCCCGTTTCCTAAAGTCAAGGAAACGGGGAAATAGCTCAAAGGTGAAAAAGGCACCTCTAAAGCTCACTTATTAACTATATGTTTTGCTAAATCCCAAGAAAAACATGTTAAAATGACAAGCAGTGGGTTGAGTAGAGGCTACAGTCCTCGCTGCAGTCGGCCCCGGTTCGAATCCTGCATCGGACGGCCCTTTACTGCATGTCATTCCCCCTCTCTCTGCCTCCCCATTTCCTGTCTCTCTCTATACTGTGCTATCAATAAAGGCATAAAAAGCCCAAAAATAAACTTAAAAAAAAAAAAAAGACAAGCTGTGGTATTACAGGTTCTATTTGTTGGGTTTCCCCTGAATTTTATTGGCTTTCAGCAGTTGCTGTGTGTTTTTTTTATTTTAATTTATGTTCCTGCAAACCAGGATCTAAGTATGTCTATGTATGTCTTCTGCACAGTCATGCTTTTGCATTTCCCTCCACAACTAACTGTCTTCTGTTATGTCATAGTGTATGAGGCAGGAAAAGCAGTGAAGAAAGGTCTGCCCAGTCAATATGCTCCCACCCTCTATGCTCCCAGTATGTATGCTCAGCCAGCTTACAGTGGCCCCTTAATGAACCAGCCTGTTATGCCTCTGCTGCCTCTACCCAACGGAGCTGGACCCCCACCTCCCCACAACGGTTACAGTCATGAATATGACGGCTCCAGTTCAGGTGAGAATTACTGGCATTAAAACAAGACTTGTGTTACTTGACTAATTTGGCGTTGAATTTGAGTGCGCGTGATCAGTTAAATTCTGTCAACTGAAAACACAAGTGTCATATAAAGTCCTTGTTTAAAGTTGCTTTGATGTGTCTATGCAGTTGGACATGGCTCCCAGGTGCCTTTGCTGCACGACCAGGACGGCGGCGGCGGCGACCACAGTAAGTAAATGGAGCGGAAAAAACACACAAACACTCTTTGGTAATTATGTGGGTGGGGTATTCTTGGCTTGCCAGCTGCACCGACAGTGTAAAGAAAATGATACCGAGAAATAATCTCGCACGTTTCCACTTTCTTGAAATGAGTTGGACGATCAGATTTTTTTTTTTTTTTTTAAAGAAAATTACAACATTTGGACTGACTTGACAGTGACTTGATATTGATGGTGATTGCTTGCTCTGCTCAAAATATGATGTGATTATGTTTAAATATTACCAAGCTATTTTCACTGAACAACCCCCCCCCCCCATCACACCCTATGAAGGAGTATCAGGGCCATGGATGAGAAAAAAAACATGTTTTTTTTTTTTTTTTCATCATGCACTTCAAGAAAAAAAGTCGATATGTCGAGAAAAAAGTCGATCTGAATCAGAAGAGGAAGTTTTTTTTTATTTATTTTGCCTTTCGAGAATAAAGTCTAAATGTCGAGAATAAACTTGAGATTAAAGTCGACCTTTTTGAGACGACATGAACAGAGCGTATGACTGCCTCTACAAAATGCCTTGTATAGATGAACTGATGAAATTGTACTTCAGAATCGGCTTTAGCAACAAAGGTAAATTCTTTCTCTTTTGGCTCATAAACACAGTGTAGTTGTCGGCGTTGGGACTGAAGAGATTGTGCATAAAACTGCTTGGAAGAGGCGGCCGCATCAGTGCAAACTGAAATAGCGGGTGATGGACAAATGCAAGGATATCGTTGGTTACACCTGCGTGCAATATCGGGGGGGGGGGGGGGGGGTGTATGTTGTATCACAACATACAATAAGACAACTGATGAAGTTGTTTGAGCCTGAAGGTGTGGAGCTCCGGCGGCCGCGGCGTCTGAGACGAAGTCATTACCGACGCGCTGTGGCGCATCGGTTAGTACGATAAGCTGAAGCAGTGTGGACTTGCCGTCAGTGGTTGTATTGATGGATTTAGTCGCTATGTAGTGTGGATGGCGGCCCACAGAATAAACAACGACCCGAGGGGTTTGACTTTATTCTCGACATTTTAACTACAACTTCTCGAAATGCAAAATAAAAAAAAATGTTCCTCTTCTGAGTCAGTTCGACTTTTTTCTCGACATTATGACTTTTTTTTCTCGACATTATGACATTATACATTATTATTTATTCATATAAATGTTTTTCACTTCTCTTGTGATAAGGATTCTGATGTATATGAATGTGATTAGATGATTATGACGTCACTAGCCAGTTTGCTCTGTACAGTATTTCCCTAATTTCCTTCCTGTGGGTGTTGTATTGGACTTGTAGATGGTTTGAATTTGCTCATTAAGTTCGAGGGAGCTGTGACTTCAGAGTGATGATCAAAGCACACTGGGCCTCATGCAAAAACCACTCATGTGAACACATTTGTTTTTAAGTTGCGAGTGATTCAAGAGTTTCATTTATCAATTTTTTTTCATATCTACATTTTTCTCTGAGGTATGAACGAAATGTAGGACTGGTCAAGATCGGATTCAACCTGACTGAGTTTGGAGTTTAAATATGACACTTTTATTTTAGTTAGAGAAATACAACAGATCAGTAGTTGTTTGAAAAAGTCCCCTCAGTTCGACAGCTGCAGGGTCTTTATGTAGGTTGTTGTGCTCTGCTGCATGATACAAGTTTGTGCAGTTAAGAGACTTTGGTGAATCTTACTTGAAACACTCGTATGTGCAAGACAGGTTTAAGATAAAAGGATATGAAAATGTTCTTGCACGATGCGCAATGATTCAGTGTATTTGCATGAGGCTGCAGAATCTGAAATCTTCCCCCCCCTACAGCTCGCAGTGGGTATCGTATCCAGGTGGACCCTGATGGGAACGCCACACGTGCCATTTACTATATGGAGAGGGAGCTGGCCAATTTGGACCCATCAAGACCTACCAACTACAACCGCTGTGAGTGACTGATCACTTCATGCTGTTCTGGTCGCAGCTATATGCCAGCTGTGTTACAGACTACTGTAGGGGAAAAATCATGGTAATCATGCCACGAAGAGCCGGGCAAGAGTTACAGATGGCTTCTGATCATTTCATTTTGGAGCATCAACAAAGAAAAATGACATAAACAAACTGAACTGTTACCAAACATGACAGACTGTTGTGTTATTTTTGGTCATTTGAGAAGATAATGGTTGAACATTAATGAGAAACATTTTTTCCAGTAACAAAATATGCTACAATTTTGCATATGCAAAATCACATCTAAAACAATCTGGTTAATTAAATACATTGAAATGTTTTCCACTGTAGCTGATTTCAGTGGGGAAAACCGTCAGCAGCAATACAGTAAATGTTTCATGTACACTAAAGGCAGCGAACTCTGTTTCACTTTTAATGAAATGGATGTCTTCTCGTCTGTTGCTTTCGGTTCAGGTCAATGTTTTCAACGCTTATCTGTATCTACAAATTACTATCTTCTTACGTGAAGGAGTACATAACAAGACAGAAACAAACTAGTTGAACGTCACAAACTTGTAACCGTAACTTATTGCCCATTAGTTTTGTGTTGTAATGATGCAAATACACACAGCAACATTCAACGAAAATATACACAAAATTGAGAAGTGAAATGTAACGTATTTTATGGAAAAAAATGTAAACCTCAAACATCAGAGCTGCAGACTGCGGTAGCTACCTAATTTGCATATCCTTAAAGCAGACACTGTTTTATTTATTCTGTCCAATTTACCATCTCTTCTCCGTTTGCCTCCCTCAGTGGAAAATATGAGTGAAGTCAGCTCCCTGCATGATAGCTTGGAGCCTCGAGGCCGTGGGGGTCGTTCCCAGCCTCCACCTTTGGCCACGGTCTACGACCAGGATGAAGCCATGAGCACCATCAGCAGTGTTTCGCAGCACGGACGCCGTCGTGATGACCACCCACGCCGCGGGGGAGGCCAAATGGGGGATCATGTACGCGCCCGCTCCATGGACAACCTCGATGACATCGGACGCCGCTACGACCGAGACAACTACTCACCACACCGCCGCCCAGATGAGCCCAGAGGAAGGAGAGGGTGAGTCTTATTTCAGAACACAGATGGGTTTGTTTTTCAATTGCAAGATGTACCTTTTACTACATATCTACATTTCAAAAACAAATTTAACATATCCTTAGCAAAAATGTCATAAATTGCAAAAAATTATTATAAACTCTCAAATATTGATCAACCTCAAAAATCCAGTATCAGTTGGCCTATTGTCTCAACCTCCCATGTAACAGCTGATTATCATAGAGGTTTTCATAACATCAGTAACATTGGCCCTGTTCAAACCAGGTATTTACATCCAGCTCAGGTGATTTGATCACAGGTGAACAGCTCCATGTACAACGCACCCAAGACTCATTGAGGACGCATCTGAGATCGTATCGCTCAGACCACATTCAGAGTTGGTCAGGGCCCCATGTAGTCACAGTCTTTTAGCAGTGTGAATGCAAATGTGTCCTGGGCCACATTGACGGACCAACTACTCAACTGAGTTCCTCTGCCAGAGTCCTGCCACACTCAGAAATATTTTACTGTTTCAAATCGCTAAAACCTTATTTCAATGTAGAGCTGTGAGCAGCGGGGCGCGAACTACAGGGGAAATCCTGTTGAGCCTCCTCCTGGAGTCTCAAAAAATACTAACAGTGTTATCTTGCCATGCATTTTCTAATTTTTGTATCGTCATCAACATGGATCATGCGTAAAATTAAGCTATGCAATTGTGTCATTCATGCATGACGGCTATTTATCACTATTTCAATTTAATAAAGACAATGTTACACAAGGGACGTGGCTCCTTCAAGAATAGCTCTGTGCGTAGGATGTGAGTGGTGGAGCGAGAGGGAGCGAAGCTGATCTAAGAGATCGATCACAAGTGGTCGATCGAGGCGCATGTGGAGACGCATTTTAAAGCCAGGTGTGAACTGACGACTGATTTCCATCAACGTCGCTCAGGAAAATTGCGCTTAATTGAAAAATCTGGTCTGAATTAACGTCAACTTTCACTTCATGCTCAAACCGTTTAATTAACACAGTTTATGAGCCAAGTAAACGTTAACTCAAACCAGGCTTGAACGAGCTGCATTGCGGCGCGCACAGACTACACAAGCAGCCAAGAACAATCCATTGTCAAAAAGAAGATCATGTCACAGAAAGAAGGGAAAACAGGAGCCGTCTTCTTCTCAGCAGAGGAGCATGGCCTGCGTTAGTGTCACCACCCGTCCTGTATAATACGTGGATAAAATAATGCCAAATAAAACCAAACCAGTTACAGCTACAGGTGAACTGGAGAAGTTTATCAATGAGCAGTAACTGAGAGCTCTGTGTGCTGTGAGAAAATACAGGTATGTTCACCTTCTTCAGGTAAAGTCAGGAGTACAGAGCTCTGAGAGCTCACCTGGCATTCGAAGCAGGAAAGTGACATCTGATCACAAGTGGTGAGCTTGGGTGGCTTGAGACATGTGGAAAAGCATTTTAAAGCCAGGTGTGAACAGGGCCATAAATGCACCTTAAAGTAAAGTTTATTATGTGTAATTTGAAACAGCACCCTGCACTACAGTGATATTACTTTTACGTGTGTTCGGTGTGTGTGTGTGTGTGTGTCCAAAATGTGAAGAGGTCTGAGTACTTTCTGAAGCTGTTTTATTGTGTTGTACATTTGATGTTAAGTGGAAAAATGGTGCATTGGTAAATGCACAACACAGTTCAGTGTGCATGCATGCGTGTATTTGTAATGTTGCCCAAAAGAGAGACAACAGTTCAGTACAAGTGCATCATTGTAATGATCACTGCATTACAAAAAAATACCTTAAAATACCTTTCATTTCCACCTATTTTATTTTGCTGTGGTTTGCATGCTTGTGGTTAGGTTCGGTTAAGCATGTACTTTCAGGATTTCTCAGAACACGACTTCTCTGTATCACCTGATGCAAATTCTGGTAATTAAGAAACTCTGGGGTGTCAACCTCAGCTTCTCTTTGTTATGTTTGTGAACATGTTCATGATGTGGGAGCATGTCCTTTTTTCTTGTAACTGTGAACAGATTATACGAGCAACAGAGTGGAAAAATCTACCAGATTATATATCCAGATTATACATACATCTTTGTCCTCATCATTTTTACATATTCTGTATAATGCCTTTTAATTTTATAAATAGTTTGTAGCCATTCCTCCATTGCTGCAGGTAATGTGAGGTAGATTCAAAAGTGAAACTTTTAGTAGATGAAATGAAAAGTTTATAGATGGATCTCGAGTCAGAATAATTCTCAGAAACAAGATCAGTGGCCTTCCAGTTATTGTGGTGCACTAGGTGGGGTTTCCCAAACTAATATGCGAGTACATGCTGGTAATTTTGGTGGTTTAAACTGTAAGCACAGGTTCAGCTGAGCTGCATCACAAAAGTTTCATCTCTCCTAGCAATATTATCAATATTATATTAAAATTGGTATCTGTTTTTTAAATGAATTTCCTCAGAAACACTATCACCATACTCAGCACCATGCATTTGATCATTTACAGCCTCGTTTCACTTTAACAAGCATCAGTTGATTGTAAGGGCTTAAAACTTGTTAGAAATGAATTCTATTTACTATACAGATAAATAGAATTTATGATTCTGTTAATCTTCTTTTCTATGTCCTGAATCAATAAGCAAAATAACACATGAGCATGCAGGAAAGTGAACAAACAAAGAACATGATTTTAAAAGCCACTGATGTAGTTTTGCAAATTGTCATAAAAAGGTTGATGGGGGCTTCGTGCAAAATGTAGCTTGTAAAAGAGGCACAAAGAGGTTATGCGTTCATTAAATTTCCATATCACATTACTGTGTTGAAATATGAAATGCTTTCCAAACATGGATGTCTGGTGGCTCTTTGCTGATTATATATACCTCTTATATTCACGTCCTTCAGTTTCTTTTGTCATCTTTAACCTGGAATAAATATTTTATTTGCATCATGCTGTATTTGTAAATCACTGTCCTAAGACTGTCAGTCTCTCCTTTATATTTGATTTTCATACAAAAGCCAACCGTGCGATGCCGGTCTAATCTTGAGCTCATGATATGATGCTGCTCTTCAAACTTGCTCTGAGCAGTTGGCCACACTTGACATGCACCATCTCCAAAGTATGCTCACTAACTACTTGCAGTAGTGAAATAATCTGTGTATAATCTTTGCTGTCTGGAAGTTGGAAATGGCCACAAATCACAATTTGTAGTTTATTTATTTTTATTTATTTCATTAGTTTATTCCTCGGCACAGTGCGCATTGATAAACGTTGCTGTAAATATCCCAGAATGAGTCAAAAGGCTCAGCAGTGAGGTTCAAGATTCACTTTAACTTGTCTAAAACTCAATTCAGCTGCAAGTCTAATGAGAGAGAAACAGCCCGTGTATGTTTCTTTTTCCCCTAAATTTGTTTTGTCTCTTTAGGTCTGATGATGAGTGGAGCATCAGCGCCCGCAGTGGTTACAGCCGAGACTATGATGACCGCAGGCGTCGAGACTACTCCCCTGACGGTCGTCGAAGAGGAGAGGGAGGAGCCTACAGTGGCCTCGCAGGGAGACGCAGCCGCAGCCGTGATGATCTGATGGACCTGGAGAGGGATCGCCGGCGTGGCGGTGCAGCCAGGGGCGGGCGAGATGATTATGACGACAGCTTCTTGCGAGAGGCTATGGAGAGGAAGAAGATGGGCGAGCAGCAGCGGGCACGCAGCCGGGAGCGCCTGGACAGCGAGAGTGACCGCTCGGATCGGGGGAGGGCACCTCGTGGGGCCCCCCCTCTTCCTCTCAGCCCACCCTCTGGATACCCGGGTCGGCGTGGTGACTACTTACCTCCTCCGCCACCACCGTACAGTGAAGATGAAAGTGTGTCATCTTCAAAGAAAAGCAACCTCCGCAAGGTGAGTCACAGCAAAACTAATTGTTCATTCCTGAGCTCAAGTTTCACAGTGACATCAACTGTAATGTCTTTATGTAACAGAGAGAAATCAGAGTCACTCATTTACACTGTTAACGCAGCGCGTCTTATTAATCGTTCAATGTTGTATTCAATCTTCTAATCATCATCATCTAATTTCATATTTCCAATATTTTGTCCATCTTATTTATATGAATTAAGGTTGACAAAATATTAGGAACACTCAGTATATGATTCAACATCCTCTTAATAAAAACGGAACATTATAATTCCTGTTAATTTATTGCAGAGGAATAAAGGTTTTAAATAGACCCTAACAAATGCACTTTTTACTCCAGTTTGATTAACATTGTTAAAAACTGCAGCTGCTTCAGGTCATTTTAATCACTTTTAAAAAAACTAAATGTTATATTGTGACCTAGGTCTTCAGTAGGAATGAATGAGGCTGAGACTACCTCAGTTACAATTAATGAATGATTACTATGGCACTTATCGGCCTCTCTTTGTTTTTCTTTAGCCATGCACTCTTCATATTCAGCAATGTGTTTGTGCTCCAAGTGTTTGGATTTGATTTCTTTTTGTTTGGCGGCGTCTTCATTGAGGCCAAAATGTGCCCAAACGATGGACGTGGCGTTCTTTTTAGGTAGAAGCTGCACGGGTTGAGGCTCGGTGTTTGAGCTCGTGCTTCGCTCTGAGTGAACGCTGTCTAACGTTAGTTGGATTTGGCTGAGGCAAACACAGTGTAGTGTTTTTTTTTTTTTTTTGAAGGGGACAGTTCATGTACATATGCAATTGTTAACCAAATTAACCAACATGTTTTAATTATCCAGCCCTAAATCATTGTTGGTTTTGTTTCATGGATTTGACAATAAGAAAATGACAGAACATTGCCAGCCTTGTCCCTAATGTCTGATTGAAGCACCTAAAATGTGATTAAATTATGATTTTTGGTTGGTATCACTCGGTCCATTTTCACCTGGACATCACTTTTCTTATCTTACAGAATGGAGCTGTGAGTCGGGAGAGCCTGGTTGTGTAACCATGACGTCAACAACCTGTCCAATGATGCAGCTTTATTCACCTAAAAAAAAAAAAGAAAAAAAGGACCAGATGATTTCTAAGACTAAATATAAGTCACACTGCTGATTTTGTATATTGCATAATTTACAGTAAACTTATTACAAATTGATGCTAAATGTGTATGTGTACTTTTCCTACAGGGAGAAGGTTCATAGATGAAATTTTATGTGCCTTTTCATATATAAAAGATTGTGGCTGCCACAAGTGCCTTAGAGTGTACAGGATTTAACAGGTAGATTTGAAAGTCAAATTGTTGCATAATTCTGTGTAAAACTGTTCATGTAAACATGTAAACATGCTCCAGCAGTGCTTTAAACGTTCAGCTGATACAGGTACTCGTGCAGAGTTGTAGGGTTTGTGGGCTTTTGTGTTTGTTTTGTTTTACTTTTGCTTGTGAAAATTGTTTTTGTAAGAGAAGCTGTTGCTTTCAGTTGTGTTGGCGTGTGCTCCAGGCTTTGTTTAGTCTCAGAAAAAATGTGTTTTTGAGTATTTACATTTTATTTTTGTTCTTTGTTTTTTTTTTTTTTTTATACAGAATTTCAGTTTTAACCTATAGTATCTTGTACAGCCAAGCAGTAGTAGGCTCGTAATATGCAAATTATGTCATGAAACCTAATTTTACAATAAAGGTCTCCATTGCCAGGCCGAGTTTTACCACTAGATGACACCATCTTGTTGGTCTGTAATTTAATGGCACCGTGAGCTGCAGAAGTGATGATGCTGTTGCGTCTCTCTGGATCTTGTGAGGTATTAATCAGCAATGTAATACTTAATACAAAAAATTCTAAATTTAGACGCAGAGGGAGTTCTGACTGTTTATTATTGGGAGTTGACTCTGTTTTAAGCATTATATCATAATTGTATTAAATAACTGCCATAGAGTTTAGTTGACGCCTTTGTGACAGTCTCAACATAAGCTGAACTTGAAGCTCTGCTGAGGTGAGAGTTATTACAGAGGTGTTGTATTACATCATATCTTACAAATGTTTGTGTTTCCACTACCTTTACTGCCAGTCATTAGTTTGTCCACTCAGATTAGGCCTACACAGTATATAATAGTAAGTTACAGTAAGTTTTAATATAAACTGGTATGCTACTATGGGTGTATAACAGAAGCGGCAGCGGTGTTCATCCTTTAAAGGGACTCAGGTGGGAAAACTACTGACCTGTATGACCTGGTCCCAACAAAACAGGTAAGAATACATTAAAAATCTCTCACAGTAAGAATTTAATTGCATAAAATCACACTATAATTCCTGCTGTTGTCTGTTTCAGGTGCTCTGCTTTCTATCAGTTTGTGTCTCCACTTCATGGCAGCCATCTTAAAGGGTGGTTCAGTGACCAAGGTTTGTGCTAATCTTATCCTCTTAACCACACAAAGACGGTTTTAACAGCTGCAACAAACTGCTTTGTTTATATTTGCATTGCCATGTTTCTCAATAAGAAAGCAAACTCTGGAAACTTCATTCAATAAGACGTCAACTCTCACGTTTTGAGAGGTTGCGTCAAGCCTGACAGTTTTACTCTGAGGGATGTTCTGCCGACCCCTTTTTATATTAATGGAAAAGTTAGAGAGCACCTTCACGTGCCATATAAGACCAGAAGAGTTGAGCTGCTTCTGCTTTTTACTTGTCAGATTTCTGCATATTTCTCTCCGAAGGAAGTTTTCTTTCAACAGCTGACTTTCTGTGATTGCACCAAGACTCAACTGATGTCATAACTAATCATTCCGAGAAATCAAAACAAGAAAGACGTCACCTTAATTTGGTGGCCCTGTTTGTAGTGGCTGCGCTTAGGAATAGGTTATTGTGAGGGGATGTGATGCAAAAACATGATGAGCTGTTTCAGAAGAAAATAAAAGCCTTAAAATGCAGCGGAGCAAGTAACTGGCAACAGGCAAAGGATCAGACTGTAATCGTACTGAGCAGCTCCCAGGTGTGAATGTGTGTAACTGTGAGTTTGAAAGACGTTTGTTCCTGGATAAATAAAGGTTAAACAAGACTGCTATACCATGAGCCTTATCACAGTTTATAGTGCTGCTTAAAGATCCATCAGAGTAAGAACACAGAAATCTGAGGAGCAACACCTGGGTCCAAATTTCATCTTAAAGAGGCACTCCGCCAATTTAGTATCACACCTCCATGAAGCTGGGAGACTGAGAAAAGACGGACTTATAGAGGAATGATCAAAATTGATGCTGAAGCTGAGATACTTGTTTTAGTCACTAGTAATGGTTAAGCTCTGGAAATAATATCTGATCTTGCATTTCCCAGTGTGCCAGCAGACTCGCTGCTGCTGACATCACTCTGACCTCACCTTTGGAAAATTAGTAAAAATGTGTTTGGACTCAAATCTCAATCCCTGTTTTTTTTTTTTTAAATAAGAAACGAAACTGTGCATTATTAATATAGTTAAATTGTTATAAATAAATGAATACAAAATAAATAACTTGGATTATTCTTTATGAAATGATATAAATAAATATCTGCTGTCACTTCAATTAGCCTGCAGCCATGGACACAGACATGTAAACCCCTCCTCCAATTACATAAGCCCAAGACCCCCAGAGTAAAAGGTGGTCATTGTGAGGGTTTTTTTCTTTGTGCTCGTCTTGTATGCGTCTGGTTTTGTGTCTCTTTGCTGTCACTTTGTGGCTGTTTTGCATTTGCACTTTATCACAACTTGAGCCTCATTTTTTCAAGTTATAGGCATCATTTCCATTTGTAATAATATTTTCACTCTTAGCATTTTCACTGCTAAGGTCTTAAGATGACCTACTGCACGTGACAGAGATCATGTGCAATGAGAGATTATTATGGGCACTTGGAGATAAAACTGGAAGTGTAGCCAGAGTACAGTGGTTTAGATAATCAGGTAAAAACTGTTGGCTGGTTTACAACCTGTCTGATCATCTGACTGTTTCTTGCACAGTTGGACTTCATTGCAGCTCTGTGTGTCTTCATGTTATCAGATCTCAGAAATGACTTGAGCACGCTGCTGCCATAATCATGGACAGGATGGCCAATCGACAAACTTCAAGAGAGAGAGAAAGAAAGAGAGAGAGAAAATGATCAGAATCATCCTGTCATTTAAAAAAGATGTAAATCTAAAACCTGAAAGCTGTTAAAAAGGGTAGATTTGCCCTTCCATCACAGGTTCTGAATGCCAAAGACCCAATCTGCTGACGGGGGGGGGGGGGGGGGGGGGGGGGGGGGGGGGGGGGGAGAGAGAGAGAGAGGAGGGAGAGAAAGAGGAGGGAGAAAGAGGAGGGAGGTGGAAGAGCGGTAGAAAAAGCAAATGTCGAAGGAGAGAAGACGACTCTGAGCTCCTCACTGGCTTCAGATCAGCTGATAAGGTAAGAGCTCTGCTGCTCTCTGATCTGCAATTATTATTCATTAGTTTTAGATTTTCCTCACCACTCTTTCTTTCCTTTTTCTCTTCGGGGTTTGAATCTCTCACTTTCAAATCATTTCTTTGCAACAGAATGGCAGGGAGTGAACTGTTGTGATCGTTTATTGGCAACACTGAAGGGGCAGATTTCTCACAGCACAGTGTGGTGTCCATGTGCAGCTCATCTATGAGCTCCGCCACATCATTGTATTATTGCACTCAATCTATTTGATGGATATTTGATGTTGTAGCAGATTTTGATGGATTACAGCTGAGAATCATATACAGGAAATAACTAATGGGCTGTCTGTTCTGTTTGATAACTAATCATTATATATTCATCTGAGTTTGCACTGAGAGACTGCAGACTGGGAAAAGTCACAATGTTTCTAATATTTTGACTTGAGAGACAAAACAAAACATTGGTTTTCACATGTTTTTGACGTCACAGCCTTGTTAACTGTCTTCCTACTTCCTGTAGTATCTGGCTTATCCATACACTGTTTTTCAGTGATTACACAAATACTGATGAAGTGACATTACCGTAAAACATAGAACCAACAGACTCTATAATGAGAAAATGCTTGAGAACGGTCTTATCTCCTAACAAGGCCTGCAATGACCCAAAACGACCTGCACATTAAACACTCTCCAAATCCAAACCACATCATTGGAGGACAGTTGGAGCACAATATGGAAACTTAGGCCAAGTAGGACAAATTTGAGATTAGTTGCACCTTTGGGAATAAAAATCCTGTGTGACACGGGGACAGCAGTGTGGCAGAGCTGTGGATAAAAAGTCCTGAACAGGGTCAATAATCTCATAATGAATTTTAACACAATACTTTGGTCATACAGGCGCAAACATTTCCCTCCATCAGATTCTCTTAGCACTAAGAGAACCCCCCCCCCCCCAAATACACCCATCCAGCCATTCATTTGCAGTATACCTAATGGATGGATGTTTCTTTTGAGTGTCAAACTTAATCTAGGATCTTTCCAAAACCCAAGTCAAACTCTGGGAGGAAATTAAATATTTTAGTGTTACCTTTGGAATTTAACTTGGGACATTGAAACATTTTCCCACTTTTTCATAAAAATTATGAAAATCTCAGAATTGAACGACCTGAGCAGCAGGTTCATTTAAACCAGTGTAGGTTTTAAACCTGTGGCTGGTAACGAGTTTCCATCTATTTCTGCATGTTCTGAGGTTTTCAAGACAAAGTTTTCTAGCTCAAGACACTGTCCTCGTCCCACTTTGTCAGAGAGGAACATGTACAACAGATAAATGCCCAGAACGTGAAATGATTTAGGTAAACACCTGATAAGTGGAACAATAAAAACACAAAGTTTCAGCATTTCTACAGCTGTTCATCGGTTTGCAAATGGCAGCCATCCGCTGCTTCTGTCCAGTGAAATGGACAGAGGGACAATGGATCCATTCTCAGCGTGGTGTTCTGTCACCCATCTCTGTCCAGCACAATCCCAACACGCCCTCACCCACCCACACACCCGCTCACTCCCACACAGCTCTCTGCATCTACCTCGTAACATTGTAAAAGCATGATACTGTGTGTGTGTGTGTGTGTGTGTATGTGTGTGTGGGTTTAAGAAAAAAAAAAAAAGAAAAAACTCAGGGAACTGGACAAAACAGTTGTTGGACAATGTATTTATCAGGTATTTCAGTGGGTTTTTTAAAGGTCCTGCACACGGCCTTTGAAAGATTAGCTTTAAGAGTCGGCTCATTTCTAACTTGTTAAGGAAATCGAGAGCGTGGACAAAGGTTAGAAGAACCCAAACTGACTGACATGTTAAAGTCACTTTGTATTACCAACCGTATCGTGCTGTTTTAACGGAAATGCCTGGGCGAGACAGGAAACGCAATTAACGTTCAAATGAGGACAGCAGCGCGCGCTTCCAGACGGACTTTCCTCAAAGAGGTTTATAGTGTCGCACTTGTTTGTTCGTGCAAAAACAGATAAACATAACGTGTACTGAGCGTTTCAGCAAACAACTGATGCCGTTTCTCTGGACGAGATAGTCCGCATGATAGAAGTGTCGTGTAGAAGAAGACAAAAATATTCTACCTGAGCAGATATCGAGCAGGTGGAAATACATCAGTTAATGCTATGAAAGGCCATGAATTCATTCAGGGACAGGCTTGGTAATTGATTAGTAAATTGATGTTTGAGGGGGTTTTGAGTCGTGTGATGAGTTTTGACCCATCATTCCTAGCTGCTGCCTTATTTCCA